GTTTGGAAATGGAAATATGATCACCCTACATTAAACAAACTGTCCACCCGGGCTTTTGCACTGCACAGAGACGCTTCGCTGCCTACGACTGAACGTCAGTTGAGAGTCAGTCTCATGCAGACTGACCAATGAAGAGAGGGCCTCAAGTTAAGACCCTCTCCTCATTGGTCAGTCCACACGAGGTGGGTCAAAGGTTACTTTGGGCGGGTTACGTGTTGTCAGGCATTCAAGTATTGAGTATATTTACTGCATATTACAGTAAAATATTCTGTATGTGACCACATTATGGTGATCCTTGGGTCGTGATGATGGAGCCCTTGAATATTGTTGCCCAGGGTACAACAAAGTGTTAATCTGGCCCTGGTTCCGCCGTCACATTCCCGCAGAAACTGGTTGATCACACCGGGGCCAGACTACTAGCATGTGGTTTTACAACCACAATGTCCTCAGAAGCAAAAACGCTTTTAAAAGGGAGGGAGGAGTCCTAACTGTTGCTGCAGGCGTGTTGTGTGAGAGTGCAGTTATATACTGGTTAATATATTTTTGGGTTCAGTTGCCTTCATGTGGCCTAATGTGAGTCTATTTGGGATCATTGGAATGATCAGCAGCATTTCTTGATGTGACTTTATGGCAGTTGCCCAGGGCATCATCGCAAGGAGGATGGCATTCATTTACTTTTGTTTTATTTGGTATTTTTTCAGTCATTTTTGGAAATAGTGATCAATTTTGATTAATTCACGGCCTATGTTTAATTACATTTAAAATAAATGTCAACAGATGAGATCAAACAAAACAGATGAGAATTGCCCTTAAGCTGTTTAACTTGGACCAAGCATTTTAGGTCACAGATAGATGTAGCTTAGGGTCTCTGTCTATACACCTTATAAGACAATTTAGGTGATGGCATGTTGTTTTTCTGCTATTGAACTGTTTTCTAATAATGTTGTGTTAAATAAAGTGAAGGAAGGAGAGAAATAACGTTTCCCTAGCAGTTTTTAAAAATTTCCCCATGTAATCCGATTAATCGATTAATCGTGCCGAGACCCCATCCGATTAATCGATTATCCAAATAATCGTTTGTTGCAGCCCTATTCCAAACAATGCAACACAAAAATTCTCATAAAATGAATAAAGGGGAAGTTATTTTAAATAAAATACGAGCGAAATGTGATGAAAACACAAAACTAAGTAGTTTGAACTGAAGTAAAAACAGAAATAACATTCTTCCTGCTTTTCTGTCAGTACGCCCCAGGGCAGCGATGGCGACATCATAGCTCATCCTCACCATTGTGTTAATGTGTGTGTGAATGGGTGAATGACTTGATTTGTGTTGTAAAGCACCTTGAGGGGTTCCAGGACTCTAGAAGGTGCTTTATTAAATACAGGCCCTTTTCTGATTCATTGAATCACTTTTTGGGGTTTTTTGCTCATGAAAGTGAAGTTTTGCCTCACAAGTGAATAACTGCAGGTAAAATGATTCATGCTGCATTTTTGTTGACAAAATAAAAATAAGTTTAGAGGTTTATCCTTCCTCTCTGCCTCTCTGTCTGATGGCCGAGTGCAAGACAGAGACGGGGACAACTTTCCATCAAATTTAAAAGCCGTCCCTGATTAATTAGGCCATCATTTTGAAGTCAGGCGGGATGGCTCGATGGCTACTATGTTTCCAGGCGAGCAACTTTCAAGTGCGTCAGTAGCTCGCGAGCGACATATTGGAGACCCCTGCTCTAGAGCAACCAGTGGCTCCACCCACTAGCCAGTCAATGGCTGACAGTTGCTGAACGTCTGATTTTGAGGCCAGGTCAGAATGCTAGGAACCACAACGAAGCAGGTACAGGAAAATCGTAGGGGGGAGGGAATACAGAACTGCGCTGTTGGAAACAACTGTTAAACCAAACCACACCCATCCAAGTTACGCTGAGTAGTGCTGTTGGAAAACCCCCGTAAGAGGGAGTCACTAGTCAGGCTGTGTCAGAGGTGATGGTGTAGAAGCAGTGCAAGCATTGAGGGGGAGTGCGCTAACTGCAGTTGGAGAAGAGGTCTACGGGGTAGGAGAGGCTTTCTGACATCAGGAATGAACGTAGGTTCTGCTAGCCAACAATCCTTTAACAACTGAAGTGACCACTCCTTCACTCTGATGTATGTCGCACTGAAAATTTGCATACATGGACCCACCCATCTTGGTTCGAGACAGGGAATGCTGTTGTTTGTTTAGTGTCCAGTAGAGAGGTGAGCACGTCTTGGTTAGTAGAAGCTAACATTAGCATTAGCAGCTCCACCACACAGCAGAACTCCTTCAGGCTTGTGTTATTTGTGGAGATAAAACATCAGCTTTGCAGAGCAGAGTCAGTGGTAGAGTCACATTGCTGTTAGCCAATCAGAGGCGAGATGTTTAGATATCAGGAAATAAGACTTCAGATCCTGAGGTGTTTCAAGGCGTCTGGCCTCGCAAGGCGCCTTGCTTACGAGGACACTGACCTTTGGTCAAAGAAAACGGTTAAATGGAACAGACTTGCATCACATGACCACAGCTTCCACAGTGATCACGTAACGTCACGTGACACGGGAGATAACGTTATATTTTATACGTATTAGTTTCAATATAAATATAACCTACATTTAAACTTTAAATTTGCCTCTGAAGTAGCTGCCGGCTTCTGATCCACCATCCTTTTGAAAATACTGTGGTGTATTCTGGGAAATTTTTGACCAAGGCTAGGCTACAAGACACCTCCCATGTATTCTTGCTCAGCTAGCTAAACAGCTAATAAACATAGAACACACACTTTGGTAGAACATGAACATTGGAACACGTCTTGGTGGGTCCTGATGACGTATCTCCTAGGCAACCGGGGCGGGGCCAAGACATCAAGGCGAGGTTCTTTGACATTAAGGCCCTGTCCACACATAGCCGGGGATCTTACAAAACGTAGATTTCTACGTTTTGGCCTGTCATCCACACGAAAACGGAGTTTTTTCACACGAAAACGGATCTTTTTAAAAACTCCGGCCAAAGTGAAGATCTGTGTTTTCTCCGTTTTGGGGGTCTGCGTGTGGACAGACAAAACCGGAGTTTTAAGGTCCGCAACGTCACTTTGCGCGACAGAAAAATGCTGACATCACGTGTGCGACCTGTGTTTACACTAGCCGACATCATGGAAGCCCTCAGAGCTGCGCTCTGTCACTACCCGATCCATCAATTGTCCAAGCGCTTTCTGCTTGTTTGTTTTTGCAAGCGGAATTACTGCTCCTTGCGGAAGACCACAGACGAAGGACGAGGTTAAGAACGGGGGAAATACTGCTGCCTACAGGTCTGGCATGTCCTTAACAACGTATTTATCCGGGTACGTGTGGACAGAGTTTGTTTTTAAACGAGGTGGTGTGGATGCAAGTTTTTGGAGGGGCGGCTATTCGCTTTTTTAAAAAAAAAACGGCTACGTGTGGACTAGGCCTAAGAAACACCCCTACTGGCTAACTTTTACTTCCTGAAACAGGAGTGCCAGAAATTTTCCGTACCCCACAGAGATCAACTCACAAGACATTAATTTATACTAGAGGCCACTGCAAAATGATTAAAATATATTTACTGTATTTCTCTTCTATTTATTATGTTATAAATAATATTATATTTCTGTTTCCCTGGTTGTTTAGTTTATATTTTCATTTTCACTTTTAAATTGTTATTTATCTATTTATTCTTTGAACTGGATATTCTGCTCGCCTTGTCGTTTTCCGTCCACTTGCATGGACGAGCCCATACACACAGTTACAGTAAACTAACAGAGAGGTGCGAGGACCACGGTGAGGCCGCGGCATTGAGCGGGAGTAATGGTCATGTGTAGGGCTGCACAATATATCGTAAATATATCGTTATCGTGATATCAGCATGCTCAATATGCATATCGTAAAGAACAGATAAATATCGTAATGAATGGTCAGCTCAAATGTTTGCTACACTTGATGCGTTCTGTCCTTCAAACGGAAGCATGATGTTTTTTTAACAAGTCAAATCGAGCTCTTCACCCGTTTGGCCAATTAGGTGGGTTCTCATAGGTTAGATGCCCGCCCCCGAGGCGGACATCACTTTTCATGGTTAGCAAACACCTGCGTTAGCTTTGTTCTGCTCTTTCTGCTGATTCTGCTTTTCCCGGGATCCACTGATTCCCTTTTCCTGTTCATTTTCTTTTCCCCTTTCCTCACATTTTTTGTCATTTTTACGATTTTTTTGATTTCTTTGTTTTTGATTATTTTTGTTCCTGAGTTGAGTTTTTATTTATCGCAAGTAATATCGTCATCTCAATATTAATCACTGTTCTGGAATATCACAGGTTTTCCTAATATTGTGCAGCCCTAGTCTTGTGGAATGTTGGAAAACCAGGAAGTCTTTCTCTTCACCTCTAGCTGTAAATCATACTTTAAGGTTCCATCAAGAATTCCTTTCCTCAGAGCAGGAAGGCTCGTCACATGATGATCAGCTGGGACCGCCCCGGTGGTTCCGCCAGCTCCCTCTGATTTGTCCCTGGTGTTAGGAACCACTGTGATATTTATCTGTGGGTTCTCACGGCTCTTCAGCTAATGAGTCCTCGTCATCTTGGTCCAGAACATCCTCTGGGTCCAGGTTCAGGCTTCATGTTTAATATCCTCTCATGAAACCTCATCTTGTGTCATGGTGGGAACATTTCCACATCCTCACCAGTTTTCCAGCATGCGTGTCTCCAGTGGAGCCGTGGCTGCAGAGCGGCGTGTCAGACCTGAAGGTGGGAACTTTTCCACGGTCCGTTGGTTAGTGATGAGTTTTAGGTGAACAAAGGTGATGCCAGGACTTTCAGACCATTCGGACACATGGTTCCTGGTGTTTAAAGATTGGATCCCCCTCTTGTTTGGTTTAGGGGATGCTGCAGAACTTTTCAAAACAAACCAGAGGATTTCTTTATAATTCTGTTCATCTTCATGTGAGTCTGACCAACCAGATCGAGCTAACTCTTGTTTGTCTTTTCCAGGTGGTGCTCTTAACATGAAAGTTCTTCTCACCTGTGACGGGCAGGAAGGAGCATTGAGTTAGGTTTCAGCTCGGTCCACTTTGGTCTCCTTGACAGAACCTTTGCTCTCAAGCATGGAGTCCTAAAGTTCTGGTCCATCAGGACCCCCTGCTGCTTTTTCTGCTTTTCCTGTCTACGTGTGGAGCATCAGCTAGTGTCTGGATCTTACCTCTCTGAAGCTTCACCATGTTCTCGGCTCTGAAGAAGCTGGTTGGATCTGAGCCAGGACAGCTCAGGGAGAAGACCATACCTGCAGGACTGCAGTCCATGAATCAGAGTCTGCAGAGGCGCTTTGCCAAAGGGGTCCAGTATAACAGTAAGACACACCTCTGGTCCAAGTCCAATGCGAGTCCTCTGAACTTCTGTGACAGCTGTGATGGTTTTTACTTCTACAGTGAAAATAGTCATCCGTGGAGACCGAAACACCGGTAAAAGCACTCTGTGGCATCGACTGCAGGGGAAGAAGTTTGTGGAGGAGTACATTCCCACCCAGGAGATCCAAGTCACGAGTATTCATTGGAATTATAAAAGTAAGACCATCCAGGCCTGATTGTTTCCAGCTCAGTAAGATCTTTGATTCACCGAATATTAAAAAACTGCTGTTGTTCGTTCCAGTGGCTCCATATCAAGGTAATGATGGACTCGGTAGCTTGAGCTGACTGATCTCTAGACTAGCTGACTAGTGTGTTAGTGTCCCTCGCCAGGAGGACAGCTGTGTTCTGTTTAGATCCAGTAGTGTCCTAACAGCTTGTGACGGACTCTAACGTCATCTGTCTTCGTCTCAGCTACCGATGACGTGGTGAAGGTGGAGGTGTGGGACGTGGTGGACAAAGGTGAGTGTTGATCTTCATGTCGGGGGTGTTCCTCCTGTCATACCAGGTGTTTTGCTGTCCTGCTGCAGGAATGTGTGTGTGTGTTTGTCATCCGTCCTCAGTGTTCATGTTGTGTTTCTCACGCTCATCTCAGGCCAGAAACACCCTCTTCCTGAAGGTGGAGGTGAGCTCACCTGTAGGTTGTAGATGTCCCCACCCCCTGCTGACGGTGGTGTGTGTGTGTGTGTGTGTGTGTGTGTGTGTGTGTGTGTGTGTGTGTGTGTGTGTGTGTGCGTGCGTGCGTGCGTGCACGTGCGTGCGTGCGCGTGCGTGCGTGCGTGCGTGTGTGTGTGTGTGTGTGGTGCTAGCTTTAGCTGCGGTGAACCAGTGACAGAAAGCTGGTCTGACAGGCGCTCCTGTTGTTGTTTCAGGGAAAGGGAAACGGCGTGGGGAAAATCTGAAGCTGGAGAACGAGCCCCAAGAGGTGCTGGTCCTCTGATCCTGTGTTCAGGTCTAGGAGGTGGAGGAGTCTCCTGATGACTCTGTGTTTGTGTTGCAGTCTGATGAGGTGGCCCTGGATGCAGAGTTCCTGGATGTGTACAAGAACTGCAATGGAGTGATCATGATGTTTGATATAACCAAGCAGTGGTGAGTTCAGTGCAGCAGTGTGTTCAGGAGAACCTCCCAGAACCCTGAGGGGCCAGAGGGCAGGTTATTTGACTAAGATGTTGGTTTCTGTAGCATTTCGGTAAGCTCGGGCGGGTTGGTGTGGGAGGCCATGGAAAGGTCTGGATTTTAATACGCTATTTTCATTTTGCATAAAGTGTTCAAAATATGTTCTAAATAGTTTTATCAGTAAATAGTTTTGTGTTGCCGTCACACGTCAGTGTAAACCCAATTTCCCTTCACAGATATTATTCACGAGGCTCAGACTGCCAGTTAGGACGTTTACGTCTTTTCAACCCTGTTGAAGGGCAGCATGTCCTTAGTGATGAGCTGAATCACAGTCTGCACCCTCCAGCCACTTGTCCGTTGGTTGTAGCATTCTCATTTAGGTGCAGGTGCAAGCTTGTTGTGTTTCCCATGTTTAGCTCTTACTGTTTGACAGCAAATGCCACATATGGCCTCATGCTTCTCACAATCCAACGTGCTCTCACACTGCAGCTGTCACGTCCAGCCTTGAATCCATCTCAGGTTTTCCAGATCTCAGCTAGCGTTTCTCTGGCTTGCTGCTCTTCGTGGAGCTCTCATGCTACACTGGTGAAATCGAACACCTGGCAGATGACGATTGCTAGAGATCACTCAACAATATGCTGAGAAAAGGAGCAACAGCAACAGAAAACGATGTATTGCCGACGTTATACCAAAGTAGAGGGTTAGACGGTCACTTTTATGGATTTCTACAAATTCATGCATAATTCCAGAAGCTCTGGATGTTCTGGTTCAAGTGGATGAACTAGAGTTGAAACACTTCCTCTGCTGTGACAGCTGATTCTAGGGACCTGAGGGGCAAAAACATCAGGGCCTGCAGTTCCTCCCTACAAAGAAAATCAGAAACCTGAGAACCAGCCGCTCCCAGCGGAACCAAAGGAACTGGAATGTTTTAATCGGCAGTGACAGAACCAATATTTGGGCTCATGTTCATTCTGAGAAACGTGTTTGTTTCTCTCACACACGCGCACACACACACACACATACACACACACAAAAAAACCATCTCCGTGGAACCAACAGACTCGGAGCAGATTTTGTCCTCTGAACCATAATCCGGGTTTCTGTGTGACTGACTGACCTGCAGGACGTTCAACTACATCCTGAGGGAGCTTCCCAAAGTGCCAACCCACGTTCCAGTGTGTGTCCTGGGGAACCACAGGGACATGGGGGAGCACCGTGTCATCCTGCCTGATGACATCAGAGACTTCATTGCTGGATTGAACAGGTACAACAGGGATTAAAGTTCTTCGTCGTAGCGACAGAAATCCGTCAGTTGGACTAATCAGAAAAAAGTTCAGCCAGAATCTCTTCTCGCACTCGCGTGGGTTTAGTAGTCTCTCTCTTTCTTTCTCGCTCTCTCTCTCTCTCACTCTCTCTCGCTCACTCTCTCACTCCTGTTGCTAACTGAAACGCGCACCGGTGTTGAAACGCGTTTCTCCACCGTTCTGCACTGCCCAAGCTGCCAAAACGCGCGCTCATGGCTCGCTCCCGCGGTGCGCACAAACACAAACTGCGCACGCACCAGGCGCTGGGATTCTAACAGAGCCAATAAAGCTCTGATATCACAATGAGAGTTAACGTGGTGAGCAGAACCAGGACCCAAATTCCCAGCGGGCCGATCTGAGGTCGGTGTTTTAGTCGTCTCTTTGTTTTTTCGGGCCGTGTTCAGCCATGACGCTCTGCTGATCACCTGCTGATGAGAGGATTTCTCCCGTCAGGGGAGCAGGTGAGCTGCTGAACAAGCGTTAGTTCCTAGAAACACTTCCTGTGCCCAGACTAGTGACCTGTTATTTATCATTTTATCATTAATATTACGTGAATGCACTAAACCCACAAATGATAGAAGATAAGATTAAATATTATTAATCATATTACTATCAAATATAAATAAGTATAACTGATAACTCATCTTAATGAAAAAATTATATTAATGTTTTTATTTTAATATTGGTTATACTTGATTTCTAAGGTTTCAGACTGGTGTAAAGAACATATTATTATTATTATTATTATTATCAGGTCATGATCTAAAGCTGCTCTAAGGTATAAAACTCTGCCCTGGGCCTAAAGTCCTGCAGATATATTTAGTTTCTATAAACAAATAAACAACAGCAGCTGGATTCTACTTTGTTCCTTAAACTGAGTCACGTAGTTTCACAGCTCACACGTTCAACAGGGAGCTCCGCCAGCTGATTGGTTCTCTTGGTATCTAGTGCAGTTGTGGTGCTGAGCAGCATGGATGCATCAGCGGACTTCACTCTAGTCTGTGTTCATAATGGATGAAGAAAGGACAGGAAAGCATTGTTAACTCAAATATATCCTTATAATGAACATGTATAGATACTTTATCATACACACCTACCAGCCCGTAACTCTACTTTTACCCCAAAAATGCAGGGGGGGGGGGCATGCCCCCGGACCGCTAGAGTACTTAAATACTCATCATCTTTTTTACCTCAGAGAAATCTCAACACCCACACTTTTAAACACTGTGTGTGAACAGATATTCCAAATTTTTCTGGAACAAGAATGCAGACCTTAAAACCAATCAACCCGAATAGTGGCTGCGTGTAAACAATGTGAGCCCCCCCCCCCCCTGCACACACACACACACACACACACACACAATGATTTTCAGTCAGATGAGAATTGTTTTGCTTCAATCCCTGAGGTACAATGAGGAGCTCGGCTTTAGCTCTGGTTTGAGTCCTCAGGTTAACAAATGATGAAGATATTAGTTATTCTTGATAGGGCGATGGTGGCAGAGGACTTAAGTGTCTGCTCTGTAATCAGAAGGTTGCAGGTTCGAGCCCCGCTCAGTCGTCGCTGTGTCTTAGGGCAAGTCACCTCACCCACCTTGCCTGCTGGTGTAGGTCGGAGGGACCGGTGGCGCCTGCAGTAACATAGATGTTGCTAAATCAGAGCAATTAATCAGTAGATCAGTAACTGTCGTGTGTTTCAGACCGATGGGGTCGTCCTACATCCACTATGCTGAGTCTTCCATGAGGAATGGTTTTGGACTCAAATACCTGCACAGGTTCTTCAACATCCCCTTCCTCCAGCTGCAGGTGGGTTCTGGTTCTGTCCATGTGGGTTAGGGTTAGCAGGCTGCTGCTTCAGTTTGGTGTGAGATAACTGGTGTGTGTGTGTGTGTGTGTGTGTGTGTGTGTGTGTGTGTGTGTGTGTGTGTGTGTGTGTGTGTGTGTGTGTGTGTGTGTGTGTGTGTGTGTGTGTGTGTGTGTGTGTGTGTGTGTGTGTGTGTGCGTGTGTGTGTGTGTGCGTGAGTGCGTGCGTGCGTGCGTGCGTGCTCGTGCGTGTGTGCGCATGTGTGTGGGTGTGTGCATGCGTGGGTGTGTGTGTGCGCATGTGTGTGTGTGTGTGTGTGTGTGGGTGTGTGTGTGTGTGCGCGTGGGTGTGTGTGTGTGTGCGCGCGTGTGTGTGTGGGTGTAGAGGGAGACCCTCCTGAGACAGCTGGAGACCAATCAGTTGGACATGGATGCCACCCTGGAGGAGCTGTGTGTGCAGCAGGAGACTGAAGATCAGAACTATGACATGTAAGATCTCAGCTAACTGGTTTTACTGGTGGATGAGGGTTTTTAAAGTCGGAGCTTGGTCTGCATAGCCGGCAGTAAACCGGTAAGCGTTGGACTCTGCAAAGGCTGCCCTTTATCACCGATTCTGTTCATAAGTTTTATGGACAGGATTTCTAGGTGCAGCCAAGGTGTTGGGTCCGTGTTGGTGGCCTGAAGATCTGCTTTCTGCAGATGATGTGGTTCTGTTGGCACACCCACCCTGTTGGTTAGGGCATCTGTTTTGGATGCCTCCCTGGTGAGGTTTTCCAGGCACACCCACCCAGGAGAAGATCCTAAGGAAGACCCAGGGCACGTTGGAGGGACAGTGTCTCCCACCTGGCCTTGGGGTTCCCCTGGAGGGGCTGACCCACGTGGCTGGGAAGAGGGAAGTCTGGGCCTCTGCTCAGGGTGCTGCCCTCGCGACCCCAATCCCGCGACCCGGGGTAAACTGGATGGAAATTAGGACTTTTTCTAAACTTGAAATCATTTCACTATTTAAACATTAAAAAGTTCTCTGGTGGATTACCATCAGCTGAGGATGACTTGTGTTTCTTTTCAGGTTCTGATGCTGCAGATGTTTCCCGTGCTGTGTCGTTAAGGCTGTTTGAGACCAGTTAGTCCAGTTTGTAATAGTTCTCTTGTGTTTTTTGTAGTTTCCTGGAGAACTTGGAGTCTCGCAGTAAGGGCTATGCTTCTCCTGGTCCAGCTAACGGTCAGAGTCCTTCCTCTGGCTCCCAGTCCCCCATCATCCCTCCCAGCAGGGCATCTACTGGGAGCTCCAGCCCCAGCACTCCGCAACCTCCCTTGCCCCTCCAGGAGCTTCCCCAGTCTCCGTCCGTGTCTGCTCCCTCCCCTCCACCTGCTGCAGCCGCTGTTAGCGGGGCAGCCTCGCCCACCGCGGAGGTGAAGTTCCCGGCTCAGTCCCCAGAGCACCAGCAATGCTCGACCTCATCTGGAGGGTCGGCCCCCCAAAAGCGCAGTTTCATTTCTCGCTGGTTTGGCTCGCCTTCTGCCTCCGAGACTGCTCCTCCAGTACCAGGTGAGTCCATTAACCTGACCTCCCACAGACCCAGGACCTGTCTCACTGCCAGGTGCTTTTCATTAGTTTATTAATTATAAATAGACTAGCATTTAACAGAAGTCATCATGTGCCTATCACGAATATATGAAACCGTGCATTGCCTCCGTTCATTAATGGAGTCAAACTCTCCACTTCTAAAGGTTTTATGAGTATTAGGACTGATAATAAATAAACAAATAATTGCTTGAGGATCCAAAGTTAATCTTGCCATTAGGGTTGAGCGGTACCACCTAAAATCCATATCACAATATTTAGAGGATTTCACCTCGATAACTACAGGTATGCAGAAACAAAAGTTGTCCACTAGATGGGGCTGTCACGTGTATTACGTTGAGTCATATTTCTATGTGACTCATGGTGAAACAGCTTCTTAAAAGGACATGAACGTTGCCGACCTACACACATCTTTTCATTTTCTATTATCAGATTTATCGACATGGGAAAAATTATCTCGATAAGAGTCAAAAATTTCAGTAACGATACATTTTTGATTTATTGCCCAGCCCTAGTTCCAGTTAAATGCAGATTTAAACATAGCTTACGACATTCTTCATGGTTCTTATAGTGTTGTAGGTAAAGGAGCTGATAATTATACGTCTATTATGATGGTGTCTAGAGGTTTGTTAGGTGTTAAAAACACTTTACAGTCAACAGTGAGGGCAGCTGGTAAACTACAGAGCTGATGGCTCAAATTAAAGGTTAAGTATGTTTAGTTTAAACCACACATAGATATGTACATCCTGGAAAGATCACACCGCTGTCGCTGCTAATCTGCTGTGTGCCTCGTTTCCTGTACTCATATCTGACATCAGTTAAACCAAAGATGTTGTCACGGCACATGTTTGAGATGTTTCTATTAGGCCAGGGAGCAGCTGCTGAAGCATGAGGAGATTCTGTCTGCATAACTCAGCCTCTATCAGTGGTCCCTCCAGATTATCTGTGCTGAGGTTGTGAGACGTTAATAACATCCTAATAACACACCCAACAGTAATGTAAACTCAGTGTGTCTGCATAAAGTTTGTAATGAATCCCTTTTAACGTGTGTATGAGGGTAGGACTTAGGGTCGGGGGTGCTTGGCTTGTCTTGGGCACAGGCAAGGGGGTCGTCCAGTAAAAAGGTTGGGAAGCACGGCTCTGAATCAGTGGTGTCATAACTCTGACTCACATGGGCCCAAAATGAACAACTGGGACGAAGTCGCAGGCGAACTTTCATATCTGACTGCTACTGCACATTTCCTTCAGCTCCAGGTTTGTGTCGTTTTCACATGGAAGCAAACTTTAGCTTAGCATCAACAGTGAGTCTGGAATAATCACATTTAATAAGGGGGGGGGGTGCTTTGCAGTCTCAACTGATGCTCTTAAGGTAGCAAAGCATTCTGGGATTTGTGCTTTGAGTGGCGTACGCGACGACAGCCCAGTTAAATGATCTGGCGGACCAAATATAAAGACACCACGGGCCCGAGTGGCCCCAGGGCCTGAGTTTGGCACATGCACTCTAAATGGTCTCAGTCTAGGTCAGAAGGCTGGATTGTTGGCTGGACAGATGTCCAGATGACCATCACAAACATCGTCCACAATAAGGATAAGCCACAACGGGTTATTGTTAGGGTCGGGGTTATCAACAGTTTAATCCCACACGTGGACCACAAACGTCACATTCCTCCTGTCAGGTCGCTCCTGAACCTCACCTGGGCTAAGGAGAACAAGACCTGGACTGCTGCTCGGTGGTCTGAAGTCCTCTTTTCAGATAAAAGTAAAGTCTTCAGGTGGAGGGGCTCAGAATTCACGCTGCTGACGTTTCCACAGCCAGTGATGGTTTGGTGCTCCATCCCAGCTGGTGTTGGTCCACTCTGGTTTCTGAAGTCCACAGTCAACGCAGACATCTACCAGAACATTTGATAATGATGATAATGATAGATGACCCGCACTTTCAGAGTAAGGACTCCAAAGTGCTTTACATTCACCCATTCACACACACATTCACACACTGGTGGGGATGAGCTACAATGTAGCCACAGCTGCCCTGGGGCGCACTGACAGAGGCGAGGCTGCAGAGCACTGGCGCCACCGGTCCCTCCGACCACCACCAGCAGGCAACGTGGGTTAAGTGTCTTGCCCAAGGACACAACAGCAGAATTCTCTGTCCGGAGCCGGGATCGAACCTGCAACCTTCTGATTACTGGACAACCCGCTCATCCTGTAGAGCTACTGCTGCCCGTTGAGAGAACTTTCTTCTGCTGATGAGCTTTGTAGAGACGTTGATTCATTTTCCATCTGGACTTGGCTCCTCCCCACACTGCCAACGGTACCAAAAGCTGGTTCCATGGCACTGGTGTGACTGGGCTTGACTGGCCCATAAACTGGTCTGACCTGAACCCCTCATAGACAATCAGGGAGAGATGGGACAGGGGGTTAAAAACAAAGATCAGGATTTATATGGATGTAGATCAATAAATATATATAGATGGATATTTGCTGTCTGGCAAAAAAATTAAAGTCTCCACCTGGATTTAACTAAGCAAACAGAACCCTCCTGTTGGATAATTACTGCATGAGTGATCATCTTTCACCTGCAGCAAGTTATTTAACCCAGCTGGTGCAATGAGCTGCTTCTCATTTCTTAGACAACCAGGTGGAAAGACACATCTGGTGGTCGTGGAAAAGATGTTAGTCTGTGTGAGAAGGGTCAGATCTTTGGCATCTAGCAGAGAAAACATCTAAAGAGATGCAGAAACGACTAAAACTGGGTTAAGAACTGTCCAACGCATTAATAAAAACCTATCTGATGAGTCCTGGTGGACCCTGTTGCCCTTAACCCCATTGAGGATCTTTGGGATGTGCTGGAGAAGGCTTTGTGCAGCGGTCAGACTCTTAACATCATCAGTGCAAGATCTTGGTGAGACATCAATGCAACACTGGATGGAGATAAAGCTGGTGACCCTGCAGAAGCTTATCGAATCAACGCCACAGTGAATGTGTGACGTAATCTGAGTTAAAAGCAGTCCAATGTAATATTAGTGTGGGACTTTTCTTGGGGGGGGGCAGATTATTTATGCACCCTGTAGCAGCCATTTTCAAAGGACTAACTGACGTTCTGTGATATTTGGGTGACATTTTTATGCCATTTTGAGTTGACTTAACCAGCAACCTTGTTATAATCCTGGTCAGATCAGAAAGATTTTGACCATTACCCAAAAGTGTTGTCTCTTCCATAGATGATCCTCCACCTCAGTTGTGTTCAGCTAAGGTCCAGAGCCTTGATGATTTTATTCCAGATGAGGGACTGGACAAGAACTTTCTGGAGGACAGCCTGCTCCCAAGGAACAAGGTTCCACAACCTGCTCCAGTTGGGGACAGTGACAGGTGAAATGTTTAGGCTACGTGGAACATTTGATGTAGGAACAGGTACACACACACACACACACACACATGTTCAATCAATCAATTTTATTTGTAGAACACCTTCCACAACGTTATCAGAAGCCCACGGTGCTGAACAGCATCATAAAAACATTCCCAGTACCTGGGCATGAGAGCAAGATAAAACCATAAAATCATAAAATAACAAGCAAGCAGTATTACAAATACAGAGAGGTAACGGAATGAGACTAATAATTAAAAACAAAATGGTGGGCAAAATAAGATCAAGCATCCTGATCAAAAAGAAGAAGTATTAAAAACCATAATGTCAGGGCAATTCTATGAACCCTAGCGCTGGAAAGCAATCGAATAGAAACGAGTCTTTAGACGAGACTTAAAGACTTGAATGGACGGTGCCTGCCTAATGCTCAATGGCAATTCATTCCACAGAGTTGGAGCCAAAACAGAAAATGCACGATAACCCCTCGATCGATATTTCGACCGGGGGACCACCAGAAGTTCCTGCTTGGCTGAGCGAAGAGACCGAGATGGAGCATACTTGTTCAAACGTGCAGTAATGTAAGAGGGGGCACTGCCCTGGAGGGCCTTATAAACAAGAGTTGGGATCTTAAATTTAGCTTGATATTGCACCGGGAGCCAGTGCAGAGCATCCAGCACCGGGAGCCAGTGCAGAGCATCCAGCACTGGAGTAAAGGTTGGTTTATGCTTGACGCGTCCGCAAGGTCCGCACGGCTCCGCGCCAAAAAGTTGCGTCATTTTAACAACCACGCCCCTTCACCGCGCCTCCGCACGGCCCAAACTTTCCGCACCGCGTACCTAGGAAATGTTCTAACCACGCGGACGCAAAAAAACATGGCGGACTGGCAAGAACTAGTATGGCAGAGGTTCGTAAATACAGACATTGTATGATTCAGTTATCAAAGATCACCGTGATCAACATGTTGTTAATAATTCTTGGAGAGAAAAAGCTCGCACTGTCGGAAAAGACGAGGACGCTGTTAAAAATGCTGGAATGCCATGTTGTAAACAGTAATTTCTACTTCTACTATGGTGTAGTGTTGGATGCATGCCGTAGAGCTCCATGCTGCCCCCTACAGTTTGAGAGAATATTGGCTCACCGCAGAGACAAGCCGCATGAACCATAAACGCTGCGCGTTGTCAAGCGTGTTCCATCCGCGAGCCGCATCACCGCGCGGAAAGTGAATGCGTCAAGCATAACCCAAGCTTCATGTGACCTCGGCGTCTAGTACCTGTCAGGAACCTAGCCGCTGAGTGTTGATGCTGATTCCTCTAGTCCAGCCCCACTCCCACTCTGATCTCATTTATTTGTGTGTTTCAGCGATGGAGAAGAAGGAAATCCAATGGTGTCAGGTTTCCAGGATGAACTGGATCCTGATGACACTGGGTTCAGCCTGGCCCGGCCTCAGACCCTGCCCCCCAGTAAAGATCTCGCTCTGACCAGTGACGAGGACGAGGGGCAACCAGCTGCCCCCACCATCACACAGGACCAGGACATTGAACCTGAGCTCAAAGTGTAAATGATTCAGTTTGTTTCCCTGATCTAGTTAGTTTGATTCTATTTAATCTGGTTAGTTATTTAATTTCAATTTCTTTTACCTTTTTTATTTTCATCCTAATTAATTTAACTGTTTACCTGATTATCAGTCGCCACGCTGAAGGCTTCATCTAATCATGCTTTAGTCTTTTTAGTGGTTTCTTCTGCTCCTTGTTCAGAATTCTTTAGTTTATGAAAAAAAATAATTTAGTCCATCAGCATGATCACACACACACACACACACACACACACACACACACACACACACACACACACACACACACACACACACACACACACTTTCTGAATACTGAAACTGTGTGTTGCTGTTTTCAGACCAGGGATTCGCCTCCCAAAATCAAAGGGGACACCTAAAGCTGCTGAGGTCAGAGGTCAGACTCCAGCAGCCAAACAGCTGATTCCACCCCAGAGCAGGAAGAAGGCAGGTCCTCCCAAAGCCGAGGACTCTGAGTCGGACCCTGAGGTCCCTGTGGCCCAACAAATGCTCTCCTTTGTTATGGATGACCCCGACTTTGAGTCTGAAGCTTCAGACACACCAAAGGTCACCAAGGTAACCAAAAACACAACGTCAGTTACTTCAGAGCCTGACACTGATAACGGCCTTTGGCAGCTATTAGCGCTTGTTGGGAGCTAACAGTTAGCAACAACAGGGTGCTAATGGCCTCAGTCCAGACCTCAGAGCCTTTGTAGTGGTCGAGAGCTAGACCTTGTCCCAAAACGTCCACATGGGGCTCAAACGATAAAACAAGCCGATCCCAGTTTGTTCCTCAGACCAGACCCTGAACCCAGTGAGCTCGTCTAAGGTCAGACCTCTGGGACCATAGACATCTGTCCTCTCTGACTTCTTGATCCACTCCAGGACACGCTTCCAGGCAGAGATGAGCTTCTGTCGGACCTCTCTGATGACAATGTGGGTTCAGCTAAGGTACCAGAACTATTGAAGCCCACTGCAATCTCCTTCAGACCTGCAGACGATATGGACCTGTTCGGCCTTGGAATCCAGGAAGGGCCTCCTGCAGCCAAAGACAGCAGTGATGACCAGGAACGTAAGTGGACCGTCAGGACTTCCTTTTGTTAACATCCCCTTCATATGTTGCTGGTTTTACCTGCAGACGTTGGTAGGGTTGTCACGGTAACCGGTATAGCGGTAAACCCCGGTAAAAAAGTTGACAATAAAAATAACCGTCCAGTTTTTAAAAAACTATATTATCTCGGTGGGTTTACCGTGGCCGCGGTTTCGGCGCGATGACCCTTACCAGCCACCGTCGCTTCAGCTGAAGTTCCCGCTGCGCGCACACGCACTTTTTAATTTGCAACGGCACCAAAACTTTGAAGCTGAAATAATGGCCGAAGGAGGAGACGGCAGCGCCCAGGACATCCATCAGCCCTCAAAGAAGACTAAATCGGAAGTATGGGCATATTTGGGATTTCTGAAAAATGCTGAGGGACAGTTAATAGAAGACGGCTATCCCGTTTGCAGAACGTGCAGGAAACAAGTGTCTGCAGAAGGCAGCAACACTTCAAATCTAATGGCACATCTGCGTGACGATCACCCACGTCTCCACAGCCAGTGCAAGGTAAGTTAACATTAGCATTTTAGCTTAAATGCATGACGTGAGGACTTTTGGCTGAGGGAGAATACAACGAGTCACTATATACTGCAGCCGCAGCGTCCTCTGCCAGCATTTAAACCGTGTCACGGACACCCTGTTGCTGGATGAAGCATCTTATTTGTTGATGATGAAGAGAAATATACAATTAGTTCCTTGTCATTGATTTGTTTACTTATTCAATGCCATTTATACTTGAACATTTGGATTTGATTACATAGTGTAGTAGTTATTTTAGTAATTTGTTTAAAGTGGCTATTTATTTTAAATACATATTTTTTAAGGTTGACTTGTACAGTGCTCAAGTCAAGTGTGGACTGGAGTTTTAGATTTTCATTTTGATAATGAAGAAAACAAGTATATGAGAAAACAAGTGGTGTTTCTTTGATTTGTTTACATATTGTTTATGTTTTGAATGTTTGGATTTGTATAATTTAAACCTGCACTGACTACTGTAACATGTTCCAGAAAAAGAAGCTATTTGTTCCTTTACTTGTGAAAAGTTGCACTTTTGCTAAGGCTTTGTGTTATTTTAGGTTTAATAAACACTGTTAAACCTTTTCAGAACTATTTCAGTTTGTGTAGAACAGGACTATCAATGCTTTCTGAACATATGCAACACCGTTTAAAAAATACCGCGATAATACCGAAAACCGTGATAATTTTGGTCACAATAACCGTGAGGTTAAATTTTCATACCGTGACAACCCTAGACGTTGGTTTGTTCTGTCTCTGAGCTAAGAGCTTCCTGTTCTCTAGCGGGCTGCTCCACGTGTGTTCTAAGCAACATGAGGCCATTAAATGGGTTCTAGTTCTGCTGCACTTTGAAATTGATGCTTTTGTTTGTTTTCTTTCAGAAAAAGACAGCAAACACTCCTCTAAAGAGAAGAAGAAGAAGAAGAAGAAAAGCAAGGAGGTAGAGGTCTAACTCCTAATGGCAGTGGGTGATGGGAATTTGTTTTCAGATAAAATCAGGTTCCAAACGGAGTCCAGATCTTTTCCTCACACTCAGTCCAGCTGTGGGGTTTTACAGAACCCTTGGTGCTGGGCTTTAGAACCGACCAGCTGACCACGAAGAACCGTGTGATTCTGAACCTTGAGAAGCTTTTGTTGTCGTCCGCTTAGCCGGGTCTGAGTCATGAGGCGAGCAGCTCTACACCAGCCCCTCCCAAAAACCCTCCACCGTCAGCCTGGAGGTGAAATCCCTCCAGCGTGTCTCGGGTCAAGCTGGGGGCCTCCTACTGACAAGACATGTCTGACAACATCTCTCCAGGGAGGCGTCTGGGAGACTTTCAGAGCAAATGAACAAACTACCACAGATGGCTCCTCTCCTCTCTACTCTGAGCTCCTCCTCATCTCTGCAGCTGGGCTTGGCCGCCCCACGGCTGCTCGTATTCACTCGTGTAAGGGTTGGAATGAAGACGGGCCTGTAGAGGGCTTTGCTTCCTGGCTCATCTCCAGACACCACCCTGGTCCTTCACTCGTGACCCTTTCCTGGTACAGACCCCTGGCTGTGGATCAGTTATTAACTCGTTCACTGCCATTGATGACTAAAGTCGTCATTTGCATTTTTTTTTACCGTGTGGGCATCGGAACGAGCCCCCGCACCGTGAGAACAAACATCTCAGCTCTTAAGGTGATCTTCTTCCGCATGCGTCACACGTCACGTGATCAGGACTAAAGCCCTGCACGGGCCTAAAATCTGAGCCCGTGTCCGGCCTGGCCCGAGGGGGTGGAGCCCCAGCCCAACCCGGTCCGAAAAGGTTTTCAGGATTCTCTGGCCTGACCCGAGCCCGACATTTTATTAACCAACTAAATGAAAACTAAGTGCGTCAATCCTGACCAATGTGTTAAAGGACGTCAGGATCCGAACAATTTGTTTTTCCCTCGTTTACCGTCACGGAGATAACGGCTCGGTGCACCTGGCTCTGGTGGTAATCAAGTTAAATTTTATCTCTTTCCAACAATTTTCACAAGAAAACAGAACAGTCAAAAGCAGGGCTTGTGTTGTGTTGACCGGATAGTTCCCGTGTTTGACCGTTTATTTTGACAGAGAAAGAATAGAAAGAATTACCCCGACGCATGCAGACGAACTGACACTTTATTCTACGCACATCGCAGATGTAGCTAAATCACTCAAGAAAAGATTCCCATCTGAACATCTGAGCTGGACACTGCTCAGCGCAGCTCGCTGTCAGCGCGTACTACATAAAGTACACAGCGAGCTGAAGATGTGGAGAGGGGCTTGGAGCACGTCGCAGAACCAGAGCGCATGCGTGTCGGAGGTAATTACACAGTCGTTGGCCCAAAGCCCGGCCCGAGGGCCTAGGGCTTCAGTGCAGGGCTCTAATCAGGAAGCAGAACATCCATGTGTTAGGAGATCGTTTTGGGCCGCTGCTGTAAAAAAAAAAGTGAGGCGCGAACCGGAAAAGCTTCTGCCGATCACAATTCAACAACGGATTATGAAAGAACAGATAACGCTCGAAATGCGCGGATTCTTCCTGATGTAAGAGGTGAGTCTCCGCTTTGTTTTGGTTGTTTTGGCGTTGACATCATCCTGGCACGCAACGTTCTGTCACTCTTAAAAAAACAGTAAAAACGGTGAGAAACATCTGGCAGTGAATGAGTTAAAGGGGACACTTTATGGAAAAGTCACGTTTTGCATCCTGGTTTCAGGAGTCGTGTGCGTCCATGAGCTGTTTGAAAAAGTCCATTATTTTAACGTCACACACACACACACACCATCACCACCACCAGTCTACGCTGGAGGAGCAGCAGCTCTACTCTAGCACCTCCCAGAAATTTGAACTCCTCATCTCACAGCAGCCAGTCAGACGAGGGGTGGGCGTGACAGAGCGGCTCATCATAGTCAACTTCCCTCTGGGATTAATAAAGTAATTTTGAATTGATTTGAATTCTGGAAGGTACTGAAAGAATAAAACTGCTGAGATCGCTCCCTGTGAGAGGGACTGTGAGCTAAAGACATCCTGGACACGTTTAGTATCGGCTGCAGAACTGATGTAACGGGTTTAAAACGGGTGCGACATGTTTATTGTTCTAAATCGTGTTTTCTGTTTGCAGGAAGATGAAAAGATCAAAAAGAAACACAAACACAAGAAAAAGGAGAAAGATGAAGCTGAAGCCAGAGACGAGAAGGAGAAAAAGAAAAAGAAGTCCCGGTCCAAGAAGACGGACGTGGATGAGCTGGAACACTTTTTGGGTGGAGCTGTGGGTTCGGCCCAAAGAGACGATGGAGATTATGAAGAACTATAAAGGTTCTGTCTGAGCGGCAGAACTCCAGATTCGTGCGTGCGTGTGTGTGTGTGTGTGTGCATCAAACTACTTTTCTAAAGCCATACAGTTGATGGGCCAGGGCCAGGTCCAGGTCTGGTACCAGACGGTTCTGCTGTGTGTCTCTTCCAGTCCTCCACATCTCAGCTCTCTGTTCTGACCAATCAGAAACAAGTACTGTAAGAAACCATTGCTAACTGAAGACCAGAACCACTGTTGGGACTCTCGGGTTGGTTGGATCCAGCGGTTCTGATTCATTCTGAATGTTGTGTCGAGCATGCTCCGTGAAGACCGACTCCTTCGTTTGTTCTGTTTGATTTATTTATCAGCTGATTTGTTCTCGTGTGTTTAATGGAAACTAAAAGTGAACCTGTGGTTGAGTCGAAGACGGTCTGCTGGTTCTGCTCTCACCATCAAGCTGCCAGGTTTTCAACCCAGCATCCCTTCATAGAGTTCTGGTTCCAGACGGAGGTGGTGACCACATCCAGAGCTGAAGGAGACCTCAACCATTAGTGCTTGTTCTGCTTTTAGAGCCCTTGCAGGCTCATTGGTTCTGAAGGTTCTTCTCTCCTGGTTCTGGACCTGCTGCGCCCTGAGCATCCATTATGAGATCTCAGTGAGCTGAGTCTTTTATTGTTTAGCTGAAGAACAAAGCACGGCATCGAGGTTTTCCTGTAAACATCTCCATCTTCTCCAGGTTTTATCTATCGCTGCCGAACCTCCGGGCTCTGAACGGGTCAGAATCGTTAACATTACTGAAGCTGTATGACTCATCCTGCTGTTTGTGGGAAAGAAATCAGCTCAAATCTTTATTTTACCAGCAATCATCAAACAGTTGAAAGCTCCCATAAACCAAAACAAACACAGCCCGTGTTCTCCTGTCTGACTTTTAAGGATCTGTTGGTTTAAAGGTGAAGCGGCAGCCTCCTCCTCTGGGCTGTAGTGGGATCAATGCTGATGATGGTTTCGAGCAAAGCCCCCGTCTCGTGGAAACCATCCCCCTGAAACGACTCGGTCAAACCCTTCAGAACGAGTTCAACTTAGGAAATCCTGTTTCCGCTGCTTTTGTTTGGTTCTGGACCTTTGTTTACTTTCTGACACCTTCCACCTGTTTGAGTTTGGTTTGTCCAATAAATACAAACTTATTTCTTAAAACAGTGAAGGTCTTGTCTGTCAGACTTCAGAACGGGTTGTGACCACTTCTGGACTGGACACCAGCTGATCTGCAGACTCCGGATCAGCCAGAGACCCGCTCACCGGCTCCTCTGCTCTCTGAAAACAAACGGTGACACTCCCAATGTGAGACGTGTTAGCTAGCACTAAATCAGTTATATGTAAAAATATGAGCCACATTTTACCTTCGTGCAGCAGCGTTGAACTTTAGCTGTGAAGGAAAAAGCATCAACTTCATTTATTGTCTCGGTATTTGAACCAGAACAACAAAAAGTCTAAAAAAATCCTTTAATCTGAAAAGTGAAAATGAAAAATTTTAACAGAGCTTCTGCACCAAGCTGCCTCCTTGTGAAGCGACAGGTTCCTGGTGGAGACGTACCTTTGGAGCAGGTGTAGATGATTATGGTGGTCATGGGGAGCAGGGGAAGAAGGACCCAGCGAGCAAAGCTCCAGATGAACGCTGCTGAGGCTGCGTGGTGTAGAGCACAGGGTAGGTCAGATACACACAAACACACCGTCTGTCAGCAGCTACAGACGGTCTCAGGTTTACAACGCCGAATGAGACTGGAGGACACATCTGGTGATGCAGCCGAAACTATGGGGCTAGACCCGTGCCAAAACCCGTGCACGCGGTTTTGGCACGGGTCTAGCCCCATATGAACCCGTGTCTGACTGGAGAGGCGAGCAGGAGACCAGAAGTAATACAGCTAGAACGTTCTGAGGAAGCCGGTGCCTACCATGTGATGTGATACCCAACACCACCATTCACTGCTGGTTTAAGCCAAAGACAAACATCTCTCAACTTCAAACCAATTGTTTATTTACTGTGGTGGCCATCTTTATTTTTCGGATATTTTAAGGTAAAAACGGCGTCCGTGTCCAAACCCAGAGGCAGCGTCCTTCTGAGTACGCTTTTTATGGCAGATTACGTCACAGCAAACATCTAGATCGTCCAAATCCAAAATCTGCTCAAAATGTGTCCTCATGTCCCAGAAATTCAAGGACAAGTTATTGGCAAAGGCCGTCCCAGGGTCTACCGCAGGCTGAATGGGAGATCTCTGTTTTAGTAAAAGTAGAGGATGAAGCAGGAGGATTACAGTTTCAAATGGTGTGTTCATATCTGGCAGGAATTCTTCATTTACATTTGGGTTTTTAAACATTTTTGTCAAAAATAAGCAAAAGCAGTCTAGGAAGGACTTGGCCTATGTGGATTATGTAGGACGGGTCCTTAATAGGATGCTGCCCCTGAATTTGGACACAGATACAGTCACATCACTGTCAGCTACTAACGTACCAGATACGACCTCGTGTTAATGAAACGAACAAAAACATAAGTGGAAAAGACAGAAACTGGGAGATCATTTCCCACTGCTCCCACAGAGGACATGCTTCACCTGTGTGTGATGACTAATGGGCCTTTAAAACAGGTGTGTCCAAAACACGGCCCGGGGGCCATTTGTGTCCCTCCAGCAGGCTGTTGGGGTAGATCAACACTTTTTATGATTTCTTTGTTCAGATTTTTACTATTATGGCTATTTTAATCATTTTTGACCCATGAGAATAAATAAAAAACAGTTTCAGCTTTTTTATTTCTACTCTCATCTTGAGAAGTTTGGACATCTGCTCTAAAACCTGCTGGACTGAGTCCTGTGCCAGTCTTCTGCCCTCTGGTGGAAGCTTTAGGTGCTGCAGGTGTTCATGTGTCCTAGATTTACACAATAAAATATAACGGATGACTTCATAATTGTTCGTTTCCACCATCATCATTTTCTGATTTTCACTTTCTGCATCAGTGTTAATGAGCGAACAACTTTTGATTAAACTGAATAAAACTTTTAAGTAACCCAACATCTGTGATGAACAGCTGATCTTTATTAACTCTAGAATAAGGACAGACTTTTTAAGTTCTTACATCACCAGATGGATTTAGGTAATAAGAGCTAACGTCTTAACTCTGGTGTTGTGGTCCAGCGTTTTCTACGACCACTTCGGTCCCAAATATGTTGTTTACAAACACAAAACTAGGAGGATGTTTACTGTGTAACTTTTATTGTTCCAAATGAATAAAATAATACTAAAATATTATTTGCTGTTAGGTTTCTTGTATGGATGTTAAATGGTACCAAACATTAGGATGTTTATTGCTGTTGTTAATAATAATAATAATAATAATAATAGTATTATTATTGTTATAGGGCTGCGCAGTGGTTAGAGTTGTTGCCTTGTAGCAAGAAGGTCCTGGGTTCGATTCCCGGCCTGGGATCTTTCTGCATGGAGTTTGCATGTTCTCCCTGTGCATGCGTGGGTTCTCTCCGGCTTCCTCCCACAGTCCAAAAACATGACTGGTTGGTTGGTGTGTGTGTGTGTGTGTGTGTGTGTGTGTGTGTGTGTGTGTGTGTGTATGTGTGTGTGTGTGAGTGATTGTTTGTCCTGTGTGTCTCTGCGATGGACTGGCTCTCTGCCCAGGGTGTACCCCTCCTGATTGCCCGTTGACTGCTGGAGATAGGCACCAGGCCCCCCCCCCCCCCCCCACCCCCGCGACCCCACGTGGACAAGCGGGTTCAGACAATGGATGGATGTTATTGTTATTATTAATAATAATAAATTACATTTATATAGTTCTTTTCTAGGCACTCAAACACTTTCTATTATTCACACCCTGCCGGCGCTTATGACATCAGACTTTTATTAATTACTACTGAACAGAAGTGGGACCTGAAGATGTTTACTCACAGCTGTGGATGTAACCTTCAGCCAGCTTGATGATGGTGTTATTTCTGCTCAGAACACCACACCAGAACACTCCTCCTTTACCCGGCCCCAGCACTTCCACACTGAAGGACCCGGAGTCCTGGGTCACCCTGAGCCGGCCTCCATCCACTGACTGGGCTGTGTGGCTGAAGGTGAGCCCGGTGCAGCAGTCTGCTGAGTTTCGACGGCACCAGACCCTCAGCAGGTTCTGGTGCTGTGGCTCATGGGGACACCACAGCTTCTGCCAAAGAACAGCTGCCCCATCACCTGCAAACAGTCAGAAACTGCTGTCAAATCATCATCATCATCATCATCATCATTATTATTACATGTCTGTTTCAGATTAATTCACCAGCCAGTGGATGAGGTGAACATTAGAAAAGATTTGCTTAAAAAAAAATCTAAAATACATTTATTATATCAGTAAACTTGACTGATCCCATTTAAAGTTCTCTACTTAAAGCAGTTTACCATCTATTATCATTACAATGTTGACTCTTACCTGTAAGTAAAAACAAAATCACAATAAAATAATGCATGTCACGGCCACTGGCTGAGTAGCTCGAGTCTGCCTGATGAAGAGAAAGAGTCAAGTGGAAAAGGGTTTTAAAGATAACCAAACCTTATCTTTAGACCCAACAGGAAACATCATCACCACTGATGCTTCTGTTTGTTTCCTCTTGCTGGAAGAGCATATCATTGCTTCTCATAAAGCAAGGCACCTTCACGTTTTAATAAGTGTAATTTGAATACAACTTTTCTTTACAGCCATTTGCTTTCCGACATTCTTATTGGTTCACTGCCAACAGTGAGGCGGATTACGGGGGACGTGAAGCGGTCTGCAGGGATGAGGTCCACAAACTGAGTGTTGTGCATCAAACAGCCTGACACTCTACACCACCAAGACCAAGGAACTTGTCCTTGACTTCAGGTGAAACGTAGTGGACCCCGCCCCTTTCTTCATCAATGGTGAACGTGTACAGCAAGTAGAGTCATTCAAGTTCCGTGGAATACAAATCTCTGGCAAGCTGTCCTGGTCAGTAAACACCTCAGCACTCGTCAGGAAGGCCCAGCTGCAATTTCTGAAGGTGCTCAGGATGGAGAAGCTCCATCATTGAGTCTGCTGACATACGCCATGACTGTGTGGTACTGCAGCTGCATAGAGGGTGACAGGAAGAGACTGCAGAAAGATTGCATAAAACATCATCGGCTGCCCTCTCTGTCTACAATCCACAGTTCCTGCTATCTCTGCGGAGCAGCTAACATTCTGAAGGACACCCCGCGTCCAGGCTTCTACCTTTTTAGCATGTTGCCCTCTGGTAGGTGCTTCAGATCTCTACAAGCCAGAACAAAGAGATTAAGGAACTGTTTCTTTCCTGAGCAATCACAGTATTCATCTCAAACTTGCACAAACGTTAAGTGTAATGGAATATTGCACCTTAGATTTACTTGTATTATGTTATGTACGTTTTTGGAGCTGCTGACCACACACACACACACACACACACACACACACACACACACACACACACACACACACTCACACACACACAATTCTTTTAAACCTCCTGCTTATTTCTATATTTTGTATGTAATAGCCTTTATGCACCTTATGAAGACGTGTATGCTTATTTTATATTTTGTAAATCAAATAATCTGTGGCTTTTATTTTGAAACGCTCGTGAGTCAGTATCAGGCGTTTTGATTGGTCTTCCTGTCAGCCAATAGCAGCAGGTATTCGTCGTGTTTCCGGGTTCTTCTTTTCCATGTGACTTGTGAAGTTTCTCAGCACCATCATGGTGAGTTTACTGGTTTAGTGTGAATCTTTAGTAGTTTTATCGGTAACCGTCCGCTGGGAACATAGAGCTAAGTTAGCGATTTGTTTAAGCTAACTTTATCCCGCCTAGTTTAGCGCTGGTGGAGCTAAGCTAACATGAGCCAAGCTAACAAACGGGAGGTCTACCATGAAAACCTAAGTTAAGTTATTATTTAAATCCTGTGTGTGTGTGTGCGTGTGTGTGTGTGTGTGTGTGTGTGTGTGTGTGTGTGTGTGTGTGTGTGTGTGTGTGTGTGATTTGTGAAGGTGCTCTGATGCCGCTGGAGTGGACAGCACTCACCTAGCTGAGCGTTTCATGTTTTTGTTATTTATGGTGAGGCTGTGGAAACTGGCTCAGCTGGTGGTTTCTGTGTGTTGGTAGCTTCGTCGAGAGGTGAGACTGAGGCGGGAGTACCTGTACAGGAAGGCTCAAGAGGACCGGCTGAGAACAATCGAGGAGAAGAAACAGAAGATAAAGGGCGCTCTGGAGGGTGAGGGTTTTATTTCTTCTGTATCACGAGAGATTGGCGCTGTGTTGCCATCCGGCTGTAACGGGTTATCTCGACTGCAGAGAATCGTCTGATTCCAACTGAAGTACGGAGAGAAGCCCTGCAGCTGCAGAAGCTTCTGGACTATGATGACCAAGGGGCAGAAGGTGAGTGTTGGCTGGTGTCATTGTGAGCTCCACAGATGTTCTGGGCCTCTTTTTAACGATCCGCTGTTCCTCCTGAAGGTGTCAGCTCACATGTGGACGATGAGTACAAGTGGGCCGGAGTAGAAGATCCAAAAGTCATGGTCACAACGTCCAGAGACCCGAGCTCTAGACTGAAGATGTTTGCCAAGGTTTGTGATGCCTTCACAAAGGTTAGATGATAGCTGTGAGGGAAGCTCAGGTTCCGTAGCTAGACCTGGTCCAGGGGAATGTCATCCTTCTGGGGATCTGGTGAGACCTGGTCTGGATAGAGCGTCTTTTAATAAAAGATTAAATAATTCCGGTTTTCAGAAGGGGACGACTGTGTTGGGACATTTAGGGTCTAGATAAAGAAAAGGAATGGCCAACATTCGTCAGCAGAGATCTTTATGAAAATGACACATCGGGTTTCGTAGAAGATGATAAACTTCTTGTTCCTCTTCCAGGAGGTGAAGCTGATGTTTCCTGGAGCTCAGCGCATGAACAGAGGAAACCATGAGATTGCTGCTCTGGTTCGAGCCTGTAAAGCTAATGAAGTTACAGACCTCATCATCATCCACGAAACAAGAGGACAGCCAGGTATGCTGCAGTTTCCCTCCTGCATTCTGGTTTCTGATTGGTCCATGTGGACTTCAGCAGGTAACCTCCTAGAAATCAAAAAAGTGTTGGTGATAAGTTTCAGATGATTCCACCACCCAAGGCACAAAGCTGTGGAACTGTATGAAAACTAGGAAGTACACCACTACCTGTGATGGTCTAAGCTCAGAGTCCCCAGTTAACACCGGGGGTAGGCACGCAGGCACGTTACGGCAGCAGCGCGGTCTGCTCATGAGCTCCAGGGAGTGTCTGCACTCGGGAGATCACGATCACTGGAAAGTTGACGTATCTTCTAAAACAGTGGTACTCAGCCTTTTTTCACTGATGTACCCCCGTGAAATATTTTTTCCAGCCAAGTACCCCTAATCAGCGCAAAACCATTTTTGGTTGTAAAAAACAAAAGACCTTAAATAGAGCACGGTGCCTTCAGTGACTGATTTATTAAACTTTGAAACTGATAAACAAGTACAAAATTCAACCATTTGAAAAAAAAACTATTTTGAATATTTTAAATGTTAATACTCCATAACTAAATGTATTGGAAATATTTTTCATCACTAAAATGTGATTCTAATTAATTAATTGAAAACATTCACCATAAAACTATTTAAAACCATAAGATTACCCATTGAAAAATCCATAAATGTGCAAAACACTGCACATTTTTTGTAGTATCTCTTGAACTATTTGGAAAAAAATATATATAATGAGAAATATTAAAAAAAAAATCAAATACAGGCCAAAGAAATGATTAAGCTAATTATAATTAAAGATTTGTTCTCATAAAAAACATATCAACATAAAGTGTTCTCTTTTGGGATCATAGTACATCTGTTCTCTAAAAGAAATCATTAACGTCATTTTAAATAACAATTGCTAAAAACAAATGTAAATCTCAAAATATGTTTTTAAAAATCAAAAAGAAGACTGAAATCTTAACATGACTGCACTGATCGGAGTGTTTTTACAGACTTTTTAGTGAGACACTTGGGCTTCACTGAGGATCTTTTTCATCCTTGGTGGCACGGAGGCAACTGCTGTGATCAAGCTCTTTTTTAGACACAGTCTGCTTCTCTGATCAGTGTCGTTAGCTAATTTCTCCCCACCATGGACGTAATTTTTTTGGGGGGGGGTCAGTTTAAAAAAAAGGGGGGGGGGTGTTTTAAAAAGAACTAAAATGGTTTCTGAATGATCTCTTGGTGTTCTGGTGTCGTTCCAGATGGTCTGGTTGTGTGCCATTTACCGTTTGGACCTACGGCCTACTTCACGCTCTACAACGTGGTGATGAGACACGACGTTCCTGATATCGGCACCATGTCAGAGGCCTACCCCCACCTCATTTTTCACAACTTCACCTCACGACTCGGCAGAAGGGTGAGCTCCAACCGTGCACTGCGCGTGCACGCACACACACACACGTGGTATTCTTGTTCCCTTGTTGGTTATGCAACTAACTAGTTGTGTTCACACACAGATATCAAATATCCTCAAGTATCTGTTCCCTGTACCCAAGGAGGACAGCAGGCGTGTGATCACGTTTGCCAACCAGGAGGACTTCATCTCTTTCAGGTCGGTGAGAGAGGACCTCCTCACATGAAATAAGTTTTTGTTGTAAAACCAAACGTTTCTTTTTTCAGACATCACACCTACAAAAAAACTGACCACAAGAACATTGAACTGACGGAGGTGGGACCACGTTTTGAGATGAAGTGTGAGTATGGATCTGGCTTTTACCATCTCTGATCTTTGGTTCGCAGCAGGGGTGATGGAACAACATGCATCTGCCAGGTTCTGCACCTACTGTCCCTCTTAAAACCATTCGTCTGTTCACCAGCTCAGTTATGTTGAATGCATGAATATTAAGTTATTCATAGAATATTATTATTCATTACAGAAATAGTTAATACTTTATCGACCCCTGGAGGAAATTGTTTCTCTGCATTTAACCCATTCCTGAGGAAGCTGCTATTTATACGGCGCCAACGGCACAACTATGGGCTCAGGATCTTCCCCGAGGATGCTTTGACACTGAGGCTTGGGAACGAACCACTAACCTACAGATTCTCGTTTTAGCCACTCTATCGTTACCGATACTTTTTAAAATGTGTTTTCTGTGAATGAAAAGCTCTAGCACACCTGTTTCAGGTGGTAGAAGTCAGTCTGAGGGGGACAGGAGCCTTACTCACCCCTGATGGGTTAACACTAAAATGACTCTTCCACTGCCTCGTTCTTCTTAAGGAGAAAATACAGCGTGGATGTTTTATCTCCGCAAATAACACAAGCCTGAATGTGTTCCACCGTTATGTGGAGTCGCTAATGCTAATGGTTAGCCACTTCTAAAGCCGGGCGTACACTGTGTGACTTTTTCACTTTTTTGAGCCGATTTTCCACTCGTGCGAGAATCCACGAGATCGGGGCGAGTTTTGCGCCGAGCGGTCGTGTAGTGTACGGGGGTTACGAGAGGCGATTAACACCACGTGACCAGCTGCCGATCAGCAGTCGTGAGCTCGCATGGACTTCTGGCGTGTTTAATATTTTGCTCGTCCCTCGTGAGGGTATCGCACTGTTGAAGCGGCGCTGGGAGCAGCTGCGACCCAAAAAGTATCAGAACCGCTCACGGCGCATGCGCAATCCTGCATCAACACCGCTCCCCGCTATTTCCCTAACAACACACGATGTTCGTTTTTGTTTCTACACGTTTTTTTACTCACAAAGATTGTCAAGAAAGCATGTTTGTCGTGTTCATGTCAAATTAAACTGATCACAAAACACAGATTTACTTTCTTTATTTCGTTTTCCTCATCCAACCCCCATAAATCCCTGTGTGTCCTGCAGCACTCCCGAAGGACAACAGGCAAAACAAGACAAAAACGTTTGACGTGCTGAGTAAAAACTGCTATTTTTAGCATATATTTTAGGTCTAATGTGTTGCTACCAGACGTACAGTGTGAGCAGTCAGGTGGCATCCGAGAACTGGGTCGTGCAGTGTGAGCGCCTGGCTCGTGAGATCTGCTCTGCGAGGAAGTTGTACAGTTTGAGCTGAAGCTGAACGCTGCGAGTGAAAAAGTTGCACAGTGTCCGCCCGGCTTTAGGTGGGCAGGGCCAAAAATTCCAAATTTCCCTGTGAGGTGGAAGAGATTGGCTTTTAATGACCTGATCATTTTCCTGTCTATTTCCTTGCTGCTGTTTTTGCAGGAAATAACGTTAGAGGAAAAGTTTCACGGTCTGCGTTTTCGAAGAACTCAGGAAGCCCGATTGTATTTCAAAAAGAATAGTATTAACATGGTTTCTCAGTGAAATAAGTACAACTGTGTGGGATGATTTTAGTATGTGTTACTTACTGGTTCCTCCTGTGTTTAGTGTTCATGATCAAACTGGGAACTCTGGAGAACGAGAGCACAGCTGAAGTTGAGTGGCGTCACCATACATATACACACACGGCTAAGAAGAGGAGGTTCCTCAGTGTGCAGTAGAGAGGAACGGCGACGGAATCAACAGAGCAGTAGTGGAGAGCCGCCTGGAGGATCTCTGGTTTTCATGACAAACTGGAAACTTTGCTCATCAGAAGCATCTTGTCATCCATCAGCGAGATTTGTGGTGTCACCTAATCAGTCAGACCCCTGCTGTTATCAGCCTTTCCATTTTATAATAAAATATCTTTAATTGAGTACTGCCTCTTTTTACTCGTCTGTTTTACAACCATCTGTAGGATAACTACTGCTTCAGCTGTTATGTAACCCCAGCTGATGCAATGGGTAGCTTCCCCTTTCCTAAGCAATCATGGAAGCATCTTGTGCTCATAATACATGTTATAAGAAGGATCAGAGACAACTTGTGAGGAGATTGCAGAAACTACTAGAGCTGGGTTAAGAACTGTCCAGCCAATAATTAAATATGAAGGAATGAGGGGAACCATCGTCTTCCAGGGAGAAATATGGGAAATGGGTGTTTATAATCAGTGATCACTGACGTTTGGTGAAATTGAGGAAAAACTACTATGTTTAAGGGTTTTTAATGAGAAGGGAACTCGGGGGGTTGGGTCTGAACAGTTGTGAAGAAAAAGGCTTCAGTTTGCAAGGAAACTTAGAGACTGGACTCTGGATCAATGGAAGAAGGTCTGATGAGTCCAGATTTACCAAGCTGTGCTCTTGTTCTTTTAGTTTTTGTTAAAGTTCAATAATGTTCATTTTCAGTTGCTCGTCTACGGAGAGTGAGCACCAACCTGGACTCTTTGGTTTGTGGTTCTTGGTGATTTTAACAAAGCTAACAGCCTCCCACAACAGCTACCAAGGTATGCAGTTTATTAAATAGACCACAGAGGGGAGGACCTCCCATACTTCGCTGTGGCTGGGCCACTTGGTCAACATGATGACCCACCTGATGCCCTCATACAGGCAGAAGCTGGAACTCCGCAAACCTGCAGTGGGACTGCTAAAGAGTGGGCCTGTGGTTAGTCTCCAGGCATGCCTGGATTGTACAGACTGGGATGTGTTCAAAACTACAATCTCACAGACATGATCTCATCCATCAACTGGGAGGTTCGCTGTACGGCATCTCAGACCATCATCAGACCCTGGTTCACATTGACCAGGCTTAACAGTGGTGTGCTGCTAAACATCAACAGGTCACAGCTAATGATTCCGATCTCTAGAGATCTCAAGACAGACCAACTACAAACCCAAATGAACAACAGACTTGGTCTGGTGTGTGTGTGTTGGGGTGTTAAAAAAACTTTAATATCACCGTGTGAACTGCAATATTCTGCAGTTAACAGTTTCGTTTACTTTCACATTAATAGAATTACTATCTGAAAAGTGCTCCTTTCTTTTACCTTTACCTTTGTGTAATAAAAAAATGTTTGCCTGAAGTAACGAGTTTATTTATTTCAGAAAAAAAGAATTATTTCATACTTTTATGAAAAGGTTGGCCTATGGATTACTGGATCTACCCAACTTTTATTATTATTTCCTAGCCAACAGGCTGCAATATATACCAAGATGGTTGCAAGATAGCCCACTAGATGAGTCCTTGTCAGACATAGAACAGACACTTTGCAATACGATAGAGCTTTCAGACTTACCATTTATTAGCTCAAGCATAAGAAAACATGAAGTCTTCAAAAGTATTAGTATCAGCACCTCTCTGACAGCATGGTGGGAGTAACTAACAATGACAGTCTTCACTAGTACCATGCAGATGCACACCTATCTGGAATAATCCTGACATTTTGCAAAATAACCAAATGATGAACCTTCCAGACTGGAAAAATAAAGGAATCCTATACCTGGAACACATATATGAAGGATTGGACTTCATCCCATTTAATCAAATAGTCTCCCAATTTGGAATAGAAAAGAATAGCTTTTTAGAATATCACCAAATTAAATCTGTAGTCAAACAAAAAAATTTAAGCTCAATAAAATAGAATTACAAACACCACCAAGGGTATATGACTTTTATAATCTCAACCCCCCCAAACTACTGTCTAAAGTATATAAGACACTGTCCAAAATAGACGATAAAATTGCAATCCTTATTGAAAAATGGGAGGTGGATCTATCAGTTAGCTTTGACCAGAACTTCTGGTCCCAAACTTGTTTAAAAACTTTTAAAATGATCAGACACACAATTTACAATTAATTCAGTACAAAATTCTACACAGAGTACACTATACAGGTCATCGGATGTTCAAGATGGGGTTTGTGTCGTCTGACACCTGTACACACTGCACAAACAACATTCCTGACAATTACATTCATGCACTGTGGTCCTGCCCACCTGTCCAGGAATTTTGGGGTAGAGTATGTGAGGATCTGTCGAAATGTCTGAAATGTCATATCCCAACTTCCCCCTCTCTTTGTTTACTGGGAAACCTGGACGATGTCCCGATTGAAACATCTTTGGCTCACGTGGTTCTGACTGCCATATGCATCGCTAAGAAAACTATCCTCTTGAATTGGAAAAATAGAGAAACTCTTTGCATTGATTTAGCCTCAGCTTCCACTTCAAATCAATCTCTCTGGGCTCCTTTGATCGGTTCCATCACATAGCGAGGGTGGGGGGCCGTTGATGTTGTCCTGCGGGATGATGTGGGTGGGGGGGTGGAGGGTCTGTGTTTGGGGTATCCAGATGTTCCCTGGAGGTGGGTTCACTGGGGGTGTCTGGGACTGGGGGGCGGAACCCCCCCCCCGGAGGTGCTTGGGTTGCCTCGGGGGGTGGACTACTGGCGGTTGTGAGTGGTGCCCCTTGGAGGTCTTGGCGGCAGCCATGGGTCACTGCCTGGCAACTGCATTGCTCCTGGGCGGGTCTGGGTGGGGCCTGGGGACTCGGGGTGGCTGGCCCCGTGTGGGGATCTGGGCGGGGCCTTGGGGGTCGGGTCCTGACATGTATGCTGCCGGGAAGAAGGCAGGAACATGCAGCAGTGCCTGGCCCGAGTTCAGGGAGCTCGGGTAGACCTCGGCTCCTCTGCTGTCCCATCACAGGGGAGGGGGAGGTCCATGAGGGGGAGGACCCAACCTTACCTGGATGTCCTATGTCTTATATATTCTGGAAGTTGTGCAAATGCAGGGATGGGCATAGATATTCTGCTGGGGTAGGGCTGGGTTGGTGCCCTTGGACTCCGTATGGCTCTGCAATGCTGCGGCTTTGGGCCCTTGCAAGATGGGCTGGGGTCTCCATGCCTTGGGTGTCATTTTGACATCAGAGGTGCCTATTGGGGCCAGTGGGGGAGCTGGCTTCCTGGAGGGCTAAGCCCAACCAGCCATTCCTCCCCATCCCCACATATTTTTCTCCTCCTGCTCCCTCACATCATCACACAAACATACACATAGGACCTTGGGGGGTGGACAAGTCTGTGGGTGCGGGTATGGACCCCATTTCCGCATTCCTGTGGCAACCTGCCCCCCAATTTTATTTGCACCTTAAACACTTCCACCAATGACATTCCACGCAAACACACACTTAGGGCCTTGGGAGTGAGAACATTCAACGGCAGTTGGCAGGGGGATTTCTCAGCCTCATCCTGAGTGCCGGTGCCCACTTCCAATTTTAAACTGCACTTAGACACCGAGGGCTGTGGGTGCAAGTGGGGTGGTGTGGTGGCATCTGGTGGCATAGGCCAGACAATGCCCGCATTGCCCGCTCACCACAGGAGACTAGGGGTCTTAGCTCACCTCTGTTGTTGCTTGGCTTCCCGGGGCTGGAGGCTAGGAGGGAGATCTGGCTGTCTGGTTGGGGTCTGGGGTGGTGGGCTGCTGTGCTCAGCGATGGGCGGGGGAGCCTGCTCATCAGCACCCCAGCAGAAAGGGTCAAACTCTGGTAACCGGTGATGGTTGTACCCCATGTGCAGCAGTACCAGGACCAGAGTGAATAGGGTGTGAATGGGGAGCATGAGTGGGGGTCCGGCGTGCATTTTTGTAAGTCTTTGGTTGTATGTGTATGTGTGAGCATGAGGGAGAGAGTGTGTGACTGTGCTTGTGTATGACTGTATATGTCAGGTGGGGCCTTGGACTCCTCCCTTCTCCTGGGACTTCTTTTGATGATATAGATCTTCGTCTCCCCTCCCCCTGCCACACCTGGTGTGGAGTGTGGTGCCTTGGTCTGCCTGAATGTTCGTGGCTCCTGGGTCAGGGGGTTTAAGATTTTTGGCGTCTGCCTGATCAATCCCGGTGGTTGCCTGGTGGGGTCTGGGTCCCTGGGCTCTGCTGGGTCCCCGGCGGGGGTGGTCGCCCCTGGGTCCCGGGTCATTGGGTCCTAGGCTCGGCCGGCTAGGGGGTGGGAGGCTGCGGGCGGGCCTGAGGGCTTGCCGCTGATATCTTCCGGGACTCTGCCGGCTGCTGGTTGTGGCCCCCCGGGGTGATCCTCTGTGCCTCTCGAGGGGGGCGGGGGCCTTTCTGGTTGCAGTCTCCTTGGGGTTCCTGTGTTCTGGGGCAGCACCTGGATCTCTGGGAATTGGAGCTCCCTCCGTCTCCTACACAGCTTAACAAGGAGAGGGTGACGAAGGTCACACCAAAACCAGCCTAAACAGGTGAGTTTTCAGCTGCTTTTTAAATGAGACCACTGAGCCCACTGATCTCAGGCTCAAGAGGGAGAGTTCCAGAGTCTGGGGGCCACAGCAGCAACCTCAGGGACCTGCTGGGGGTGTAGGGACTAAGAAGATCACCAATGTAAGATGGTGCTTGTCCATGTAAGGCCCTATAGACCAGAACCAGGACCTTGAAATGAACCTGAAGTTGACTGGCAGCCAGTGAAGCTGGAGGAGAAGCGGGTTGATGTGGGTGTGTTTGGAGGACTTGGTCAGAAGCCGAGCACAGGCATTCTGAACCACCTGTAGACAATTCAGGGAGGTTCTTCTCAGACACGTGAAAAGAGAGTTGCAGTAGTCTAAGCGTGAGGAGATGAAGGTGTGTGTCATGGCTCGAGGTATGTGTTTACCCAAGACATGCAGAAATCTGACTCGTAGAACCAGTTGAATTAAAGTGAAGTCTTTATTATAAGGAGAACAAAAAGAACACAGGGAAGTCCTGTGGGGTAGATCGATCACTGGAGTTCATTCAGAGTTCGGGGAGAATGTGGGGGGGGGGGGGGGGGGAGGGGGGGGTGAGGTGAGCTCTGATGAGTCCAGGGGTGATCCGGGATTGGTGAGGCAGCGGAGAGGGTCCAAACAGGAAGCAACGGAGGAGGATGAGATGTGGTGTGACTAGTCCAGTGTTTAAACAGTGAAGTTGAGGTAGGTAATGAGATCCTGGGAGAGGGGAAACAACACCAAAAGTTAGGATAATCCTAAGAGCAGTCCAAAATCAGTCCAAGTTCAAAATCCAAGAAATCCAGAAAAACGAAGGTCAAAACGAGTTACAAGAACGAGAGCGAGTGGCTGGGGCTACCTATACTGGTGCAATCATCCGGCGTAGTGAAATGTCTCCATTCTCCTTTTATACTCGAGTTCCTGATTGGGAATCTTCTGCAGCTGCAAACCCCTCCACTCCTCACCTGTGGAAAATCAGCCTGATAGTGGCGAGATAGGAGATGGTGTCACTCACCTCGGCTCAGGAACATGACAGTGTGGATAACAGTCTCAAGTTCAGTGCAGGACAGAATGAGACTCAGCTTTGCAATGTTCCTAAGATGGAAGAAGGAAGAGCGAACAAGAGAACTGACATGAGAATCCAGGGTGAGAGCTGAGTCAGGTGTCAGACCAAGAATTCTGACCAAGAGAGTCTCTGACTTTGGGAACCAGCTTGTCTGGGGCACAGATGAGGATCTCAGTCTTATCTTCATTCAGCTGTAGAAAGCTCCCAGCCATCCAGGCTTTGATAGAGTCTAAGCAGGTGTGTAACAGCTGCAGCTTAGACATCTCATGGGGCTTAAAGGAGATGTACAGTTAATTGTTAATTATTGTCCACAAAAATGATGAGGAAATATAAAATCAACATTGTTTAACTGAACAATCACACAATAATAAATCACAGTGCATTTAGTGCCAACCACAGCCTTCAGACATGTGTTGAAAATGCACAAGTCCATACTTTTGAGAGCACCTGTGTGTGTACACGCACTTGCTTATGTAAGGTTTCTCTATAGGAGCATCCACTAGAGAGTGTGAGGGGCCACAGATCTGCCCCCAAAGATGTGTAGAAGACAGAGGGAGCTCCAAGTCCCAGAGATCCATGAGCTGCCCCAGAGCGCAGGGACCCCAGGGAGACTGTAACCAGTAAAGCCCCCCTCTCGAGAGGCGCAGAGGATTGCCCCAGGGGGACACAACCAGCAGCCGGCAGAGTCCGGGGAGATATCAGTGGCAAGCCCACAGGCCCGCCCGCAGCCTCCCACCCCCAAGCCAACCGAGCCTGGAACCCAGCGACCCGGGACCCATCCCTTCTTGTGATGTTGCAAAATAGCAGAGGTGTGGACTCGAGTCACATGACTTGGACTCGAGTCATTATTTTAATGATTTCTGACTTGACTTGATAAAATCTATAATGACTTACGACTTGACTCGGACTTGAATGCCAATGACTTGCGACTTGAATCAACTTGAACCTGCTGACTTGATGATGACTTGAGCATATTTGATATTTTAGAACAAAAGTGGCATGACATGGAAAAAAAATCATAAATCATTCTTCATTCTGGGTTTGATCTTGTACTGCTAAATGCAGCAGCACTTTGTTTATAATCAGTTTCAGTTGCACTTCCTGCTTGTTTGAGCAAATAAATGAAGCTTTAAGAAGCTTTTTTTCTGGATTTTATTTATTATCATTGTCATTAAATTGAAGTTGGACAGATGACTTGATTACGACTTGAAAATTCAAAGTTAAGGACTTGGACTTGACTTGGACTTTCACATCACTGACTTTGGACTTGACTTGGACTTGATTGCCTTTGACTTGGACTTGACTGGAAAGACTTGTGACTTACTTGTGACTTGCAAAGCAGTGACTTGGTCACGCCTCTGCAAAATAGAACATTTACATCGAAGACCAGCTATCTGAGCTCCTGACGTCATAGTGGTAGGTGTGGCCAGCAACAGTTCATTTACATTAAAGTGGCACAGCTCATTATGGAAGGCACTGAAAACCTAAAAAAAATTAACTGGTGACATTACTTTATGTGAGAGCGATTTTGTGCAAAGACTTTCTTGTACATGTTTTGTATAAACCATCAAACAATAATTTCTTGTTTAAATGTCTAAGTAAACATATGAAATATCCCCTTTAATGATTGCACCAAAACAAACTAATTTTTCTTCATTCAGCAGAGTATGAAAAGTGTGTGAATGAATAGTAATGGGTTAGCTGTAAATCGCTTTGGGAGCCTTGAAAAGCGCTAAATAAATCTAATACATGAAAAATTGTTCTATTCAATTGAAGACATGAAAAGCGGCCACGGACCGCCCCCTACATGCCCAGCCTTGATCTGTCCAATGAGCGAGTGGGAGCACTGAGATCAGCCAATGAGAACGCAGCATGGTGCTTTCCTACTTTCCCTGAAGTTCTTGACAGATCCGACTTCAGATTGAGAGCGTTCAAGATGGCTGCCACAGGTAAGACTAACTAATCAAACTGTCTGGAAACACATCCGAACTGGGACGTGTCGGAGTAACTTTTAGCCACCCAACTAGTTCGTGATGTGCTGAGCGTGTCAGTGGATGGGTCGGTGTTCCGGGAAGCAGGCACCAGACCGGCGCGATGGGTCGGCGAATCCCCACAGGTTTGGCTAATGTTAGCCGCCTAGCATCCAAGCGCTTTACGGTGTGCGGAATCGGAGATAATCTTATCCACTAACGTTTAGCTTTGCAGATGCTTGCTCGAATTTGAGATTTATCAACAAATGATAGCATTTAAACTCAACATTATTTACATGTGTGATTTTGTGTCCGTGAACCAAAGAAGCCTCTTAAAAGTTACAGGCTACTTAGCTAAAGTTTTGTTAAGTAGCGCCAGAGAGAACTATGGCCTCAGAAAACCCCAGTTGTTGGAGCAAATGGAGACCGGCTAGCAGGAGCTCCGGTAAAGTAAAGCTCCGCCACACTTACGTCTGATTAGCTGCTCTAAGGACACGGTCCACGCTCTGCGCATGCCCCGTTGGTTGCTGTAGTGTCTACTGGGAACTGTGGGATGTGCCGCAATGGGTTTACTCTACCAGAAACAAATTTAAACAGTTTTCACACTTAAATGTGGGCCAGAAAAACTTGACACACCAGGACAGAGTAACGAGTTTCTTTTACGGAGCTCAAGATGGCCTTCGATGGGAAACCGGCATTGAATGCATTCATGAACACTTCCTTTGCATTTTATTATAAATGTTAGATTTGCAGAAAAGTTAGGAGGGAAATATGGTTACTCATTTCCCAAAGACTAATTAATTTAAAGGTCATCCAAATGTGCAGTGTCTACCTCTGGGTCACTGTTGCTGCAGATGAGCCTGTTGGGAATTATGTCCAATAAAGTTCTGGTGGATCTCCTCCACCAGAACTTTGTGGGTGGAGGTTGATCGGGACATTTTCCCAATTAAAGTTTAATAATGATTATGTTTCAGTAGCTTGTGATGGCATGAAGTACAGAGAGATGGGCCTGGAGCCTTGACCTTCCATGGTCATTCAGAGACCCCTGTAACATCCTTGTATATAATATCTCTAGACAAGGCTGCTTTACTTGTATAGCACAGTCATACACAGTAGCAATTCAGTGTGCTTTCCAGGAGCAAGAGCAGCAGGGAGGCTCCGATGCACCAGTTTCAGGAAGTACCAGTCAGATGGAGAAGGTATTTAGATTGCAGAATTTGGAGTCTTATTTCCTGATATCTGGACATCTCTCCTCTGATTGGGTAACAGCAACATGTCTCTACCACTGACTCTGTTTGGGCTGCAATATAGATATTTTATCTCTACTAATTACACTAGCCTGAAGGAGTTCTGCCATGTTGGAGCGTTACTAATGCTAACAGTTAGCTTCTACTAGCAGAGATGTTCTCTGCTGTTTCCTGGATGCTAATCCAACAAGAGCCTTCTCCATCGTGAGTCAAGATGAATGAATCCATGAGCGTTACCCCTTCTTTCCACCGGAGCCGTCAGCAGCACGTTACTGCAGCAGCACGTCTTGCTCGCGTATGCTGCTGCTTGGCCCTTCCCACGAGACGCGAAGCAGCAGGGGAGCAGCTGTCACCGACAGAGCACAAAGTCACACGAGTGACGTCGTCAGTAAACACAACAACAACAAGCAGGAGAAAACTACAACATGGCTCCAAAATGTTTGTGTTTTATGTTCTGTCTGTTTTATAATCGCCAATACGGACCTGAAAAACAAAGGAGACCGCTAGCTAGGTGATAACTTCTCACGGGGACGCACAGTTAGTAACTTTTGTAAAAGTAAAGCAACCGGAATGAAGTACGTTTCTTTATTCTGAAAAGCTCGGGAGCTTCTCTCCATTTCCGCGTCCGATTTCCTGTCTTTCCTTCCCCAAAAATGTCGAACTTGACCCGTTTCAGAGGCGTCGTGCGTAGAAAGTAGAACCGGCGCGTAAGGGCCGCGACATGCTGCTCCTGAGACGCGGCCGACTCACGCTGCTGACGGCTCCAGTGGAAAAGGTTCTGTTGACCACAGCGGTTCCTATCAGCAGCTATGACGTGCTGCTGCAGTAACGTGCTGCTGACGGCTCCCGTGGAAAGAAGGGGTTAGGTGACAGTGTGGCGTAGATCTGTCAGGATTTTCTTATCCTAGAGTTTTACTGTCTATTTTCTATCAGAAGCTAATGCAGAAGATAGGTGTAGGAGACTATTTTCATGTTCAACCTGCATGAAAAAATCAGAATGACTGATTATAATCATAAATAATCATGAAAATGTTTTTTAGTGTTTCACTCCTTTAATCCTGGCGAGTAAATCCCACCCTCAGTGGCTGAAGCTGAGTAAAAAGCTGCTATCCCTGCTGTTTGGTTTTTTTTCTGCTGGTCCGCCCCCTAAAGTGTCCAGGCGGCATGTGTAACTTTTATGTTCCTGCTACTTTTTGCAGAAGATTTTTGGCATTTATTTGTAAATGTTTACAAATAAACTTTGAATCGGCACGTGTCACATCACGATGCCTCGATTAAATGGTGAATCTGCACACCCCCTTATCGTGCGATGAGAGTCTGGCCTTGACGCAGCATGTTAACACCAATAACAGCCCACCCCTAATTATGATATATTTCACCATGGAGTTGTTACTGTCCTCTTGCCAATTACTAGATGCTAATAATATTGTTCCAATGTAGGATTACATGTCTAAAAATCACGTTTTTTTTATTTAGCGTGATGAGCTTCGTCATTATGAGATTTCTATGTTTCTCTGCCCCAGTGTGAGAGTAGCTGCTGAACTCAGTGGCCCAGCCAGGACTATATATGTAAAAAATGTAAAGTTTCAAGCTAAGTAGAATATTTAGAATACACGATGCAGTGTTTCCCTAGAAAAGTTTCCAGCCGTGGGGGGGGGGGGGGGGGGGTTGTAACCTAGTGCACGCGCTAGAGGATTGTTTCGCTGCCGCGTTCCATCTGTCAGAGCAGGGAGGTGGAGGAGGAGAATGCGTGTACGTAGCAAGCTTTTGTAAAGTTGGGGTGTTGACATTTCTCTGAGGTGTTGTGTGTGTGCGTATATATAAATATATATATATATTATTTATTTATTTATTCCAGTTCTTATTCTACCGCAAGATGTGCACCAGCACCAAAGAGCAGACATGAAAAAGATGATGAGTATTAAACTACTCTAGGGGGGTCCGGGGGCGTGCCCCCCAGTAGAAAGTTTTGGACATTTTATATTTAAAAGCATCAGTCTGGTGAAATTTGAGAAAACAGTAGAGTTACAGGCTGGTGAGACTGTTTGATAAAGTATCTAAACCTGTTCACAGCATTAGATTAGATTGATTACATATCCTGTCCTGTCTTTAATCCATTTGAACACCGACCACAGCGAGATCCTCTGATGCATCCATGCTGCTCCGTACCAGACCTGTAGACCTGTACTGGTGTCCCTAGTTACTAAAGAACCAATCAGCTGGCGGAGCTGCTGGTGAACGTGTGAGCGTGCAGAACTTGCAAAACTACGTGACTCAATTTAAGAAACAAAGTAGAATCAAGCTGCTGTTATTTATTTGTTGTTGTTGTTGTTTATAGAAACTAAATATATCTGCAGGGCTTTAGGCCCAGGGCAGAGTTTTATACCTCAGACCGAACCACATCCAGACCTGTTATTAATAATATTTTGTATTATTTACACCAATCAGAAAATTCATTAATGTTCAGACATTAAAAAACTTAGAAATGAAATAAAATTAACATTAATGGCCTGTATTTGATACAGCACCTTCTAGAGTCCTGGAACCCCCCAAGGCGCTTTACAACACATTCACCCATTCACACACACTTTCACACACCGGCGGGGATGAGCTACGATGTAGCCACAGCTGCCCTGGGGCACACTGACAGAGGCGAGGCTGCCGAGCACAGGCGCCACCACCAGCAGGCAGCGTGGGTTAAGTGTCTTGCCCAAGGACACAACGACAGCGACAGACTGAGCGGGACTCGAACCTGCAACCTTCAGATTACGGGGCGAGCGCTTAACTCCTGTGCTACCGTCGCCCCCTAATCATCAAAATTAAATGATTAACATTGTTAAATTGTTATGAATAACAGGTCACTGTAGTCTGGGTGTAGAACGTGTTTCTAGTGACAGAAGCTGGTTGGGTTAGGGTTGGCAGCAGCTCACCTGTTCCTGACAGGAGAAACCCTCTCATCAGCAGCAGGTGATCAACAGAATAACACCTGCCCGAAAAAAAAACAACACCGAAGTGAAATAGGGCCACCGGGAATTTGTCCAGCTGGTCCTGGTTCTGCCCGCCTGTTGGATAAATAAACGCACAACATCGAAACCAAAACCAGAGCGCACCGCGGGAGCGAGATTGTAATGAGCGCGCATGTTTTTACCGTTTGGGCGGTGCGGAGCAGTGGAGAAATGCGTTTCTACAGCAGAACCGACTGGAATAGTGACGTAACACCGTTGCACACAGGTGTGGGTTTCAGTTAGCAACAGAAGGGGGAGAGGGCAAACACAGCCAGAGAAACGCAGAGGGACAAGACCGATAGCAACGTTTTTCAGCTAAACTGCAGGAGAGGTGTGTGTGTTTAGCCTCCTCATTAGAAAAAGTGTGGCTGTCACAACACCAACGTCCCCCACGGGTGCAACGGCCACGTGTGTGCGTTCGGGACCATTTCACTGCCGTGCGCGGGGCAGGGGTGCCTCCAGAAAATTTTGACAGGGGTGGCCAGACAGGGCTGAAGAAATTTTTGGGGTGGCACACTAACTAGAGCCCTGCACGGGCCTAAAGTCTGAGCCCGTGTCCGGCCCGGGCCGCGGGGGTGGAGCCCTAGCCCGACCCGGTACGAGAAGGTTTTCAGGATTCTCTGGCCCGACCCGAGCCGACTTTTTTTTTTAACCTTTCATAAAGTTTTAGCGTGATAGAATGCTCCGCATTCTAATTATCTGTGAGAAGCGTTCTGCAGTAAAAAAAGAAAGAAAAGAAAAACAGCATCAATGCAGCTTTTTTTTTCTAACAGAGCGTATTTTTCGAGCCGCAGATGAAATTTACGAACACTATATTAATTGGATGCGTTTGTAAATTTAATCTGCTCTGAAAATGCGCTCTTGTGCAGTTAGAAAAAAAGCAGCATTCTAATTTTCTAACTGCAGAGCGCATTTTCAGAGCGGCAGATTAAATAAACATTCCCAATTAATAAAGCGTTTGTAGATTTAATCTGCCGCTCTGAAAATGCGCAAAAACCAGCAGTGAATGCTGTATTTTTTTTAACTGCAGAGCGAATTTATTCACAGAAATAGAATGCTGCCGTTTTCATGAGAATAAACGAATGGTTTCTGACATCAAAGGGGACATAAAATGGCATATTAGAACAGGGGCACATGTTTCAGTCAGCAGTGTGAGAATTCGTTTATATCGGCGCGTTTATAAACCACACACACCTTAACTGAGCTAACGGTGCGTGAGAAGCAGGCAGGTGCTGCTGCGTTCAAGTGTTTCAGTTTTTTTATGAATTCGATTAAAAATAAAGGCGCCCGGCCCGAGGTAATTACACAGTCGTTGGCCCGAAGCCTGGCCCTCGGCCGTCGGGCCGGGCCGACCCGCGGGCCTAGGGCTTCAGTGCAGGGCTCTAGCACTAACGTGGTTCTTGTGGTAACTGGGAGAATTTAGCCTGTGGCGATGTATTGCATTGCTCCTTTATTCGTTTTTATTCATTTATTTTTAAATAGTATGTATCCAAAACATTTAACTTACATTTTATAAACATTTAAGAAACATTCATTTAGTTATTTAAAATGTTATTTCACATTTTATTTAAAAATGTATTTTTTTTAGCTTAACCTGTTGCTGTGTTCACAAAAAATGATTCGTAGCTGTGGCGCGAGCCTATGTAGGTGAAACACAACGAGTGTGTGTTGTTGCAGGTTCTGACTGATGTGCGTCTCTGGAGCCCTCGCTGCATGCAGCTCACCTTAAGTTGAAGGCTTGCATACTGTCCCCTCTTCAGCTTCTGCCATCCTTCATCATGTCCTCCACCTCCTCCTACTCCTCTTCAGGGGAGACCAGTCCAGAGGATATACCCCGAGGTGGAGGCACCATTCGAGTCTACCTCCCTAACAAACAGAGGACAGTGGTGAGACTTTTATTTTCCCCTATGTGGTCAAACTGAGTCTAAACGCACTGGTTAGTTTTGGGACGGCTGACGTTTATGTTTGTTAGTGTAATCGCTCAGAAAAATCAACATTTTTCATAAGATTTTGTTGGACATTTTGCGTCTGACTTCACAGATCATGTCTGCCATCGTCCCCCACTAGTCTACTCGTAAAGATTAGTTTTAACGTCTCCGCTAGCTCGGGTCATTGACAAAGACGTTTCTCATCTCGTCCTTCCAGATTGATTTCCAGTTGAGATTTGATGCGTTTACAAAGTGTAAAGTGTATAGATATGTATGTATATACTTGTACAGTCACACATAGATACCACCTGTATGTATGTGTAAATATTAATCTGTGTATGCATCTACGTAAACCTTTTCAAACATGCTTCTGTTGGCAGGTGAACGTCCGACATGAACAGACTGTGTACGAGGTTCTTGATAAAGCCCTCAAGGTTCGAGGGCTGAATCAGGACTGCTGTGCTGTGTTTCGTTTGTTAGAGGGGTAATATGTCCTCACTTACTTTTCCACATCTACTCTTGATTATTTTAATCAAACCACCCTCAGTGAGAGGAATATGTTGATGACACCTGATTCTCAGTGATGTATTAGGCCTGAGCAGCACGTGTTCAGGAAGATCGTAGCTTTTGAGTGTTTGACTTGAGGCTTCGCCATGGTCGGGCAGTGTCATGAATTCCTTTATATTTAGCCATGAATGCTACTGCTACCACCACCAGTACTACTACTACTACTACTACCACTACCACCAACACTACTACTACTACCACTACCACCAACACTACTACTACTACCACTACTACCAACACTACTACTAACACTACCACCAACACTACTACTAACACTACCACCGTCACTACTACTAACACTACCACCACCACTACTACTACTACTACTAACACTACCACCGTCACTACTACTACTAACACTACCACCGTCACCACTACTAACACTACCACCACCAGTACTACTACTACTACTAACACTACCACCATCACTACTACTACTAACACTACCACTGTCACTACTACTAACACTACCACCACCAGTACTACTACTACTACTAACACTACCACTGTCACTACTACTAACACTACCACCACCAGTACTACTACTACTACTAACACTACCACTGTCACTACTACTAACACTACCACCGTCACTACTACTACTACTACTAACACTACCACTGTCACTACTACTAACACTACCACCGTCACTACTACTACTACTACTAACACTACCACTGTCACTACTACTAACACTACCACCACCAGTACTACTACTACTACTAACACTACCACCATCACTACTACTACTACTAACACTACCACTGTCACGACTACTAACACTACCACCACCAGTACTACTACTACTACTACTAACACTACCACCGTCACCACTACTACTACTACTAACACTACCACTGTCACTACTACTAACACTACCTCCACCAGTACTACTACTACTACTAACACTACCACCGTCACCACTACTAACACTACCACCACCAGTACTACTACTACTACTAACACTACCACCATCACTACTACTACTAACACTACCACTGTCACTACTACTAACACTACCACCACCAGTACTACTACTACTACTAACACTACCACTGTCACTACTACTAACACTACCACCACCAGTACTACTACTACCACCACCACCTCTACTACTACTACTACTACTACTACTAACAACACCACCACCACTACTACTGCTATTACTACTACTACTACTACTAACACCACCACCACCACTACTACTACTACTACTAACACCACCACCACCACTACTACTACTACTACTAACACTACCACTGTCACTACTACTAACACTACCACCACCAGTACTACTACTACCACCACCACCTCTACTACTACTACTACTACTACTACTACTACTACTACTACTAACAACACCACCACCACTACTACTGCTATTACTACTACTACTACTAACAACACCACCACCACCACTACTACTACTACTACTACTACTATTACTATTACTACCTCCAATACTACTACCACCATTACTATCACTTCTACTACTACTTCTACCACCACCTCCTCAAGGAGGTCAATGGTCAACTTTCCTGGAGGGGTCACCCAATAGGACAGTGGGAGAGTTAAATATTTATATTAATATTTATGCATTGTGTGTGTGTGTGTGTGTGTGTGTGTGTGTGTGTGTGTGTGTGTGTGTGTGTGTGTGTGTGTGTGTGTGTGTGTGTGTGTGTGTGTGTGTGTGTGTGTGTGTGTGTGTGTGTGTGTGTGTGTGTGTGTGTGTGTGTGTGTGTGTGTGTGTGTGTGTGTGTGTGTGTGTGTGTGTGTGTGTGTGTGTGTGTGTGTGTGTGTGTGTGTGTGTGTGTGTGTGCGCGTGCGTGCGTGCGTGTGTGTGTGTGCTCTGTCTTCTCGATCCCCAGTGAGTCGTGGTGGATGGCTGCTTATACTGAGCGAGGATCCTCTGGAGGTTTCTTCCTGTTAAAAGGGAGTTTTCCTCTCCACTGTCGCTGCATGCTTGCTTAGTATGAGGATTGCTGTAAAGACTCTGACACTAGTCAGTGACTCGATGCCACCTGCTGGGTTCCTTATAAAAGAAACTTTTTACTGATTGGCTTAATGACCTGACCTGTATTGGAATGTTTACCAAGTGCCTTGAGACAACTCGTCGTGATTTGGCGCTTTATAAATAAACCGAATTGAATTGATTAGGACTAAACGCAGACGGGTGTGGCGACTCCTGAAGGAAAAAGACAAAAGAGAAAGAAATAGTTTTTCCTTCTCAGAATGAATTAGAAATGTCTTAAGTTTTGGTTTTAGAGGCTATCAGTCTCTTCTAAACGATTTGGGATCCTTTGAAAATCACGTGATTGGATCGGAACATCCCTACTTTAAACTATTTGTTCGCTAAAGCCTTATGAATTTGATTACTCATTGTTACTGTCTACTAACGCCTTATCGATCCAGCGTGAGCAGATGCCTTTTTAGATGGTCATCAGTAGAGTGAAGTGAATTCATGTGTTCATGTGGAATGCTGCCCAGCTCCTAGTGTGTGATGCTCTGTTCTGGTCTGGTTCCACAGCCGTAAGAGACTGACAGACTGGAAAACTGACATCACTCCTTTGGTGGGAGAGGAGTTGTTAGTGGAAGTCCTGGATGATATTCCACTCACCATGCACAACTATGTGAGTCCTAGCAGCTTCTGCAGCCAGTATTTATGATCCTGTCTTTAGTCTTAAAGACGTTGCTGTAGATGAGTGGTTTCATGCTGTGGTTCTCTTCAGGTACGAAAGACGTTTTTCAAGCTGGCTTACTGTGACTTCTGCCACAAGTTTCTTTTCAATGGCTTCAGATGTCAGACGTGTGGCTACAAATTCCACCAACACTGTAGCAGCAAGGTCCCCACCGTCTGTGTGGACACGGACATGAAAAGCAAACGGTGAGATGGACTCGAAGTCTATGAGATGATCATTTAGGTTTTGCATTGGCCCTAAAACACTCAGGGTCCCCCACTTGTCTGTTTGTCTCTGTGGGATGTCTCTTTGACGGGTTTAGAAACGCATTATACTCTCTACCTATGAATCAAGTAGCATATCCCACTGCTGAAAGGGGAAGGGAGACAACTAAAGCCTGGTTTATGCTTCTCCGTCAGCTCTGCAAGGGACAGACACGCACGGATTGACGGAAGCTTTTTGCTCTCCTACTTCTCCGTCTCCTGGGGAGTGTTGCAAAGCAATTCCCCGGCAGGACAACAGAGGGCGTAGCGCTGTTCTGTGGTATCCTGTCATGCATCGGTCCAAGATAGTGTGTTTATATTGTGTTTTTGTATATAAGAGACTCTTTAACAGACATATTTGTCCCTCATCCTCCTCCACCTCTTCATGCGCTCGCCACCTCTAAACCCACGTTTCCTGTCATTTCCGTCCACAAATAAAACGCTTGCTGCGCATCTTTTCACTCCTCCAGTCACGAGGGAATTAAACGTTCATGTTTTTAGAGTTTTTCCGCGAGGTATTCTTCAAGCTTCTCCGTGTCTGCCGCTAGTTATCCTCGGCTCTCTTTATGTTTTTGAGGGTGCAATGGCGGCGCTGTAGACGACAGCAGCGTCCTGACCAATCACAAGCTTGCGTTGTCCGTCTCGACTGACGGATGTTTAGAAAAGAGAGCTTGACTCCGTACGTCCTTACGGAGCTCTCCGGCAGCTCCGTAAGGACGTTGCGTGTCTCCGCACAGACTCAGACGGAGAAGCATGAACCAGACTTTATGACTCGATGGACATCTACAGCAGGCGGCAAAGCATCTGCTGTTAGTCGAGGTGGGGCTTGGTGGAGCTCACTGAGACCCTCACCAGGACCTCCTATCGTTTGTTTGACTTTCTATTTGTTCTGATCTGAAACTGCTGAGCTTAAAGGACGTCTTCCACGTTAAACACACTCTCCAAAACCTAATCAGTCACCGCCGAGTGAGCACCTGTGCCTGTTGTGGTGCGGTCTACAGTTCCAACAATTCCAACAGGGGATTATTGACTTTTCTAGCCCAGTGAATGCACTGGGGGTGACTGGTGACCCATCCAACATGGCGGCCCACAGTTCCACCAGCGCCGATAGAAAGCCCCAGCCCATGTCGCCTCTACGTCTATATGACCTGGTCTCTGCTTCTCGTATTCATTTTCTGTTGTGGAAATCTACACATGATGTACAACCCAACACACACACACACACACACACACACACACACACACACACACACACACAAACCATCATTAAACCAGTTGAATCTGTGTTACTAAAAATACTGGAGTCAAGCCCGTCTTCCTCTAGGAATGTAATGTTTCACGTAGGGGAAGTCTGCCCACTTCCCTTGATTTAGAATTTTTAAACCTCTGCTAGTTTTCTGATGACCTGGAAGGTTAACCAAAGTAAGTTTGTCCTTAGATGATGTTTTTCTACCATTCTAAAGAACTTTAAAGATGCACTTAATGCATTCTGGAAGTGCAGCTTGTAAAAACTAGACTCCAAGCATAAATCTAGCAGAGCGAAACAACTCTACCGTGTTGGGAATGCATCCAAAATGCCTCGTGGTCCATGGAAATGCCCCCGTCAACTACAGAGGTGACTGATTGCTGCAGGCTACGCCGCAGGTGTTAAAAAACATCCAAAAACAATAAAGTCAGGATTAAATAAAGGAATTGAAACCAGTTAAACCTGCTCCTGCTGCTGTGTCCAGGTGTGATTCCAGCTCCAGCACAGATTACCCCCAGATAATCCTGTCAGAGAATTCTCCATCACAGAGCAACCCGGCCTTGACCCCAGAGCCTGCTCGGTAAGACCCCCACCGCGACACTTTCACCAGGACAGACTGGGTGTGCTGTGTGAAGCTGCTAATGGAATGGTCCTTCCTGACTGTTTAGAATGGGCCTGCTATCCCCACCCTCCACCTTTAGCTTCCCCACCTCCAGTGGAGACGGGCAGTCCCTGCAGAGGCATCGCTCCACCTCCACTCCCAACGTCCACATGGTCAGCACAGTGGACCTGGCTAACGTCAGCATCATGGAGGTCAGTGGGGCTCTGTGTCAGGGTCCACTCTCCCCGTGGGACTGAATGCTTTTAGACTAACTCTGAAATGTTTCTGCTTTCAGGAAGCGATGAAGTTCAACACCATAGGTACGGCTCCTCCCACCAGCAGGCAGTACCCGTTTAGTCCTTCTCCAGGTTTCACACCTTCATCTCTGCAGGTCCTGAGCCTTCACCCAAACCCTCCACCAGTCCTCCTTCTTCCCTTGGCTCTCCTGGAAGGAAACAACCAAAGTCCCCCTCGGATCACAAGGAACGCAAACCCTCCTCCTCTGATGACAAGAAGAAAGTGGTAGGTTTTCTTTAGTGCTGGTCTCCAGGCGGACCGCCAGCCCAGCGACCCTTTCACTCATACGTTAGCCCAGCTGGCAGAAACAGAACTGTGTGTTACTGCAGCACAGAGGAGGCTACAGAGACTCGAGTTACTACTGGGAGGTCCCCTATCGAGAGGTCAACGTTCAGAAGAGAATAGGGACTGGATCCTTTGGGACAGTCTACAAGGGCAAGTGGCACGGGGATGTGGCCATCAAGATCCTCAAGGTCAAAGAGCCGACGCCAGAGCAGCTCCAGGCCTTCAAAAACGAGATGCAGGTCCTACGGTGAGACATTTCTCTTCATTCTCCAGAAATCTGATGCTGAAAACCTGTGATCCAACTATGGTCCTTCAACACTTCTCACTGGTGATGACGTCATGGAAGTTCTAACGCGTGTGTGTGTGTGTGCGCTCTGCAGGAAAACTCGCCATGTGAACATCCTACTGTTCATGGGCTTCATGACGAAGCCGAACTTTGCCATCATCACTCAGTGGTGTGAAGGCAGCAGCTTGTACCACCATCTGCACGTCACGGAAACCAAGTTTGACACGATGCGGCGCATCGATGTAGCCCGGCAGACGGCTCAGGGCATGGAGTAAGAGCGGCCACATTTCTCTTCTCTGCTGCTGTTCTTTAGTTCAGAAGCTGCTTTTACATGTGCATTAGACCTACTTCCGTTTAGTTGGTGTGACAACATTCAGATGATGGTTTAGCTTCATGTACCACAGCTCTGCTGTAGCCAGTTCTCCTTAAACTGTCTTCATCTCCATTTTGTCCTTCGTCCCTTTCCTGCAGTTATCTTCATGCAAAGAACATCATCCATCGAGACCTGAAGTCTAACAGTATCCTTTCCTTGTTTAGCGGAGCGAGGCTAACCCGGTGTGTCCCCTACATAGGCTCAGGCGTAGCGCTGCCACAGCTGAAACTCCAGCTCCATGCCTACAAGATTCCCCCCCCCCCACAGACACGCGGAAGGGAAGTGCTCCGAGTGCAACGCCCCCCCCCCCCCCCCCCCCCCCCCCCCCGCTCTCACGGACAACACGCAGCAGCGAAACAGTCCGCGCTCGCACCCCCCACCCACCAGTCCGCACCGCGGCTGGACAAACCTCTTGGGGAAACACTGAAACCAGAACCGGTCCGTCTTCAACAAACTAAACGTCATTTACAAACACTTAGTCGTAAACAATAATTGTTGTTTGTTTGGAGAACTCAAACACTTGTTCATGCTACTTCCTGTCTGTGCTCACGGCTGCTGTGTAAACATCTGAACAGCTGGACTGATTCTGACTGGTGGTTGAGGGTCAGTCGGGTCACATCAACTATAACTCAATCATCCATCAGCGTCCGATGTTCTGTGGTTAAGTTCTGGGTCCTACGGAGCAGTCAGATGAAATGATTTAGTGTCCAACTACTAGTTCAGTCCCAGATTGAAGGCAACGACCACCAGTGTGAATGGTTCCTTTAAACAGGTGGATTAAAATAATTGACCCCCTGCTGATTTTGCTAGTTTGGCCGCTAACAAAGAAAGGTCGCTGGTTTATTTGAACAGTGAGAAGGAACAAAAACCCTGAAAAATGTCTAAACGGTGACACATCACTTGGCTTTTTTATGAAGGAAACGAGGATTTGACCCTTTGGGCTTTAGCTTTGTTGATGTCAGAGGTCAAATGTCCTTTAGTTGGACACAAGGTTTACACACATCTCAGGATGGGTTTTTCCCCATTCCTTTATGTAGACCCCCCCTTTTCTTGAGTGATTTAGCTACATCTGCGATGTGCGTAGAATAAAATGTCAGTTCGTCTGCATGCGTCGGGGTAATTCTTTCTTTCTCCGTCAAAATAAACGGCTAAATACGGGAACTGTCCGGTCAACACAAGCCCTGCTTTTAACTGTTTTGTTTTCTTGTGAAAATAGATAAAATTAAACTTGATTAACACCAGAGCCAGGCGCACTGCGCCGTTATCTCCGTCACTGTAAATGAGGGAAAAACCAATTGATCGGATCCTTTTCGGACCTTCCCCACCTACAAAGTTTAATTACAACAATCAAACGTGACAGAGCCAGGATTTGTATTCTGAACAGTCTAAACATGTTTAAAAAGAAACGTATGACAAAAGTGGCACCTGCTCAGTAAAACCACCAACAGGGTGAAAAAAATCAAAAAATTGTAGGCAGAGACGGGCTACAACTTCTGGATCCACTTTATATAAATCGTTTTATTGATTATCTTCTTATGAAAGATAACTTTGACGTACACGAGCGACCGGTACCGGCTGCTGTCACCTGTTGTGATTGGTTAAAGCAGCTCTCTGCTGTCTGAGGGTAGGCCCCGCCCACAACGCCGCGGCTGCTGTGGCTCCCAGTGCTTTCTTTACTGTGGGAAACGGGTAATAATGGCTCTTTGATGGGAACAGGTTGCCGACCCCTGACATAGACGTACTATTTCTAGAGTGATCCTTCCTTTCCTTCAGTGGGCTATCCTAAGTCGGCGGGGGTTCAAACCCTCTTCCCACTGTTGATCAGTCGGGTGAAGCAGCACACAGCTGAGTATGAAACCCACCTTTGACCTAAGTCAGGTTTTGGTGATGGTTAAAGTTCTCCATGGGTCGGCCCCTCTCACACTGTACAGATGTTTTGGTGTGTAACTCAGAGGAACCGTCTTCTAAGCTTTGCTGCCAGACATCTTTCTCCATGAAGGCTGGACTGTTAAAATTGGTGACTTTGGTTTGGCCACGGTGAAGTCTCGTTGGAGTGGCTCTCATCAGGTCGAGCAGCCCAGTGGGTCCATTCTCTGGATGGTGAGTTTTCATGAACAAACCCTTGAAATCTTAGGTGTGTTCTTGCTGTGCGTCATTTCTAACTCCATGTTGTCGTTCTTTTTTAAAACACAGAAACGGTTTTGTTACCCGTTATTGACGCTACAGTTTCGCCGACGGCGAAACTGTAGCGTCAATAACGGGTAACAAAACCGTTTCTGTGTTTTAAAAAAGAACGACAACATGGAATTAAAACCTTGAAATGCATAAAGAAAAGAACAAGAGAGCCTGAAAACGAATTGACAGAAGACAGATCGTTCTGTCCATGCCCACCTAAGTTCAGTGAACCTGGATTTGAACAACAGCGTTGTACTTCCTGGTTTAGGTCCCTGGAGGGTGTGGTTATTTAGCTGGGAGGAGATTTTACAGCTCCATACTGATTGGTCTGTTTGCAGTCTCGGCAGTTTACAGTTGGTTCTCCTTTCATGTTACTTCTGTAATTTCTCTTGTGTTTGTAGCTAGTAAGTTTCACCAGCGTCTGCTTTGTTCAGACTACGTCCTCAGCCACATTTACTGAGAGTATTAATGATTGAATTAGCTAATCGTAGGTTTTCCGCGTTTCCTCCCAGGCTCCAGAGGTGATCCGGATGCAGGACAACCCGTACACATTCCAGTCAGACGTGTACGGTTATGGAGTGGTGCTGTTTGAGCTGATGTCAGGATTCCTGCCTTACTCCAACATCAACAACAGGGACCAGGTCGGACCTCCTTCCAGTCCTTTTACAACCGCTGTAGAAGTCAACGTCACAGAGCCGCTCTCCTAAGTCGTCCCCCGAACTGCGTAAAATGTGGCGTACTTTAAAAAAATAAACGATGTAAATGTTATTAACGTCTGTAGCTTCACATCACCTTTTTGGGCTGACCGGTGTCATCACTCACCGCTGAAATGGTCCAGATGCGCTGACACAACAGCTGTGAGGATGAAGCCATCGTGTTTAAGTGTCCTGGAATTCGACTAGTGGGAACGCAGCTATGATCTGCAAATAAGGGCGTCTATGTTGGGTAAAGAAAGTCCAGTTGCTACCAGAACTGGTCCAGGTTCAGAGCTGGTTTCATTGTTGGTGTCATTCTCTCATAAACCCATCTTCAGTGGAACATCAGTCAGGCAGTAAAACTCTGAGAAAACCATCAGACATGAATTTATCAGAAAACCCTTCAATATCACCAAAGTAACCCAAAAATGACAATACCAATTATTACATAGAAATAAACAGACTAAAAATCCATCCATCCATTGTCCTCCGTTTAGCCGGGTCGGGTTGTGGGGCCAGCGGCCCAGACTTCCTTCTCCCCAGCCACTCGGGCCAGATCCTCTGAGGTAATCCCAAGATGTTCCCTTGCCAACCAAGAGGCAAAACAGTCCCTCCAGCGTGTCCTGGGTCTTCCTTTAGTTCTCCTTCCAGTTGGACGAGCCCGGAAAACCTCACCAGGGAGGCATCCGGACCAGATGCCCGAGCCACCTCAACTGGCTCCTCTTGATGTGGAGGAGCAGCGGGTCTTTCTCTAAGGGAGAGCCCAGACACTCAGTGGAGAAAACTCATTTTGTATCCGCCATCTCGTTCTTTCGGTCACCACCCAAAGCTCGTGACCATAGGTGAGGGTAGGAATGTAGGTCGACTAGCAAATCGAGAGCTTCGCCTTCTGGCGCTGCTCTCTCTTCACCACAACAGACCGGCACAACGCCCGCAGCACCAGTCCGTCTGCCGTTCTCACACTCCATCTTTCCCTCACCTGTGAACAAGACCCCGAGATACTTAATCTCCTTGACTTGAGGCAGCACCTCGTCCCTGACCTGGAGAAGCCATTCTACCCTTTTCTGTCTAAAATTCAGCTGGTGAAAACCAGCCGTCGCTCTTGAATTTCTGTCCAACCTAATCATCAAAAACAAAAAAAACTAATGAAACCAAAACAATATGACCCTAAGTTAGTGTTTAGCAGTTTAACAACACACACACACACACACACACACACACACACACACACACACACACACACACACACACACACACACACACACACACACACACACACACACACGTTATCATTAGTACAGTTGACATGGCTCAGGTCATTTCATTTAAAAGTCTCGGTCTCCTGTTGTCGTCTAGATCATCTTCATGGTTGGACGTGGTTACCTGTCTCCAGACCTCAGTAAACTATACAGCACATCGCCCAAGTCCATGAAACGGCTCATCATCCACTGCCTGAAGTTCAAACGGGACGAGAGGCCTCTATTTCCTCAGGTGAGGTAAAGGTTCAGGCTCAGCATGGAAAAGATCACACTGTCAGCACACACCATAACGCTAATGCTAACATATAACCCTGTTTGTTTCTATAGCGCCAAAGCATAACGAGAATCGTCTGAAGGCACTTCAGAGTAGACATTCCAGTACTGTTCAGTTCATTATGCCAGCTCACGGGTCCCCAGAAGAACAAAAAAATGAATGCAAGTCAACGGGGCTAAAAGAGCTGTTTTGTAATCCGCTTAGCTTTGGACCCTGTATCACACACACACGTGTTCTAGCCTGGCCTGCCAGACTCCTCCTCTGTTTAATTCTGCACAGAGAAAGGCTCTGGGAGCTCTCCTATTCAAATAACCCCACCCCCTGAGAATTCTAACCGAGCCAATCAGCGCTGAGTATCGTACGTCACACACCACAACGCCGAGTTTGTCATAAACATGACGACCGCCCCTCATGTGCCACTCTGCCTGTGAGTTACCAGACCTTCTCTGTGCAGACGTGAACAGGACGAGTCTGGCAGGCCAGGCTACACGTGTGCTGCTATTTTAATGAAAACTAATGATGGGTGTTTCGACCACGCCTGTCACGTACTTTGAGATTTATCAGCTTGTAAAATTTTGCTAATGCAATAACTAAAATCAGCTTTTATAGCCCCACTGACTTGCATTCATTTTTCTATCTTCTGGAGACCCATGGTCAGGAAGTAGGTGAGCGTGATCTAGGCTCCCTATTGACCTTTTGCACCTACGTCACCTAATCACGTGGGTCCACCATACTGGACAGCAAAAGCACGTAAACCGAGTGAGACGAGTACTAAACAAAGTGAAAGGTAAAGTTTTGGCGAGCTTTAGCAGTCCTTCAACTAGTTCAAGGTGGGTTGTTATCAGAAGTAGCGCACCTAGGCGGGGCCCAGAGGGTGGCATGTTAACTAGCTTACGAATGTTGGCTTAACTTCTCTCTGCTGCTGTTCACCAATGTAAACTAGTTGCCGACTTTGCCAAAATTCACCCCGCTGGATTCATAACGTTATGTTATAAACAGTGCTTCACTTTACACGGAGCTGATTTTAAAAACGTCCGCATCTCTTCTAGTTTGTGTTGCTGGTGGTGTCACTGGGTTCAGCTGCTGCTCTCACACCGGGATGACACTATCTCTGAATGGTGACGCTTGTACTCAATACAGTCATTTTGACACGTAATACTGTAAATGATTATCTCTCATTTCACTACAGTGGACGGTACCGCGCGTCCTCCGTGGTGAAATACCCATCCATCAGGATTATCAATATGAACGCATCACATTTGTACATGAAATAAATGAAAGTTAATCTTACCCGGTAAGAACACGTTCGCTGCTAATCTGAGGGCTGCTAGTCCGTTTGATTGATCGCTGCAGTTCATCTACATCCTCAATCTCCATCAAAGGCATTTGAAAAAACAAAACAAGTTGAATTTACATCCTTGTCTGTTAGAGCAGCCAACCGCGCAGCAAGCTGTTACCATTTAAGTGAAAGCCATAAAAGGCTACTAACTGGCATGCTTTGACTAACTTCACTGGTGTTTTAACGTGTATAAACAATCTTTTTGCCGTCCATCATGGCAGAGGGCAGTCCCATGAGTGGTGACGTCATGTGCAAAGGGTCAATAAGGACCCCAGCAGATGACATCAAGTCACTGACTAGTGTCGGTGTAATGCAAAACCCAGATACTAACCCTAATGCTAACACATAATCCTGATGCTAACACACAACCCTAATGCTAATGCATAATCCTGATGCTAACCCTTATGCTAACACATAATCCTGATGCTAACCCTAATGCTAATGCATAATCCTGATGCTAACACACAACCCTAATGCTAATGCATAATCCTGACGCTAACACACAGCCCTAATGCTAACGCATAATCCTGATGCTAACCCTTATGCTAACACATAATCCTGATGCTAACACATAATCCTGACGCTAACACACAACCCTAATGCTAACACATAAGCCTGATGCTAACCCTAATACTAACACATAATCCTGATGCTAACACACAACCCTAATGCTATTGCATAATCCTGATGCTAACACATAATCCTGATGCTAACCCTAATGCTAACACATAAGCCTGATGCTAACCCTAACACTAACACATAATCCTGATGCTAACACACAACCCTAATGCTAACACATAATCCTGATGCTCACCCTAAAGGTTGGTTTATGCTTGATGCGTCCGCGAGGTCCGCACGAAAAAGTTGCGTCATTTTGCGTCATTTTAACAACCACGCCCCTCCACCGCGTCTCCGCACGGCCCAGAATTTCCGCAACGCGCACCTCGGAAAATTTCTAACCACGCGGACGGACGGACGCGGAAAAACATGGTGGACCGGCAAGAACTAGTATGGCAGAGGTTCGTAAATACAGACATTTGTATGATTCAGCTCTCAGAGATCACCGTGATCAACATGTTGTAAATAATTCTTGGAGAGAAATAGCTCGCACTGTCTGAAACGACGAGGACGCTGTTAAAAATGCTGAAATGCCATGTTGTAAACAGTAATTTCTACTTCTACTATGGTGTAGTGTTAGATGCATGCCGTAGAGCTCCATGCTGCCCCGTTCAGTTTGGGAGAATATTGGCTCACCGCAGAGACGAGCCGCACGATCCATAAACGCTGCGAGTTGTGAAGCGCGTTCCATCCGCGAGCCGCATAACCACGCGGAAAGTGAATGCGTCAAGTATAAACCAAGCTTAATACTAACACATAATCCTGATGCTAACACACAACCCTAATGCTAACACATAATCCTGATGCTAACCCTAATGCTAACACATAATCCTGATGCTAACACACAACCCTAATGCTAATGCATAATCCTGATGCTAACCCTAATGTTAACACACAATCCTGATGCTAACCCTAATGTTAACACATAATACTGATGCTAACTCACAACCCTAATGCTAACACATAATCCTGATGCTAACACACAACCCTAATGTTAACACATAATCCTGATGCTAACCCTAATACTAACACATAATCCTGATGCTAACATACAACCCTAATGCTAACACATAATCCTCATGCTAACCCTAATGCTAACGCATAATCCTGATGCTAACCCTAACGCTAACACATAATCCTGATGCTAACCCTAATGTTAATGCATAATCCTGATGCTAACACACAACCCTAATGCTAATGCACAATCCTGATGCTAACACACAACCCTAATGCTAATGCATAATCCTGATGCTAACCCTTATGCTAACACATAATCCTGATGCTAACCCTAATGCTAATGCATAATCCTGATGCTAACACACAACCCTAATGCTAATGCATAATCCTGACGCTAACACACAGCCCTAATGCTAACGCATAATCCTGATGCTAACCCTAATACTAACACATAATCCTGATGCTAACACACAACCCTAATGCTAATGCATAATCCTGATGCTAACACATAATCCTGATGCTAACCCTAATGCTAACACATAAGCCTGATGCTAACCCTAACACTAACACATAATCCTGATGCTAACACACAACCCTAATGCTAACACATAATCCTGATGCTCACCCTAAAGGTTGGTTTATGCTTGATGCGTCCGCGAGGTCCGCACGAAAAAGTTGCGTCATTTTGCGTCATTTTAACAACCACGCCCCTCCACCGCGTCTCCGCACGGCCCAGAATTTCCGCAACGCGCACCTCGGAAAATTTCTAACCACGTGGACGGACGGACGCGGAAAAACATGGTGGACCGGCAAGAACTAGTATGGCAGAGGTTCGTAAATACAGACATTTGTATGATTCAGCTCTCAGAGATCACCGTGATCAACATGTTGTAAATAATTCTTGGAGAGAAATAGCTCGCACTGTCTGAAACGACGAGGACGCTGTTAAAAATGCTGAAATGCCATGTTGTAAACAGTAATTTCTACTTCTACTATGGTGTAGTGTTAGATGCATGCCGTAGAGCTCCATGCTGCCCCGTTCAGTTTGGGAGAATATTGGCTCACCGCAGAGACGAGCCGCACGATCCATAAACGCTGCGAGTTGTGAAGCGCGTTCCATCCGCGAGCCGCATAACCACGCGGAAAGTGAATGCGTCAAGTATAAACCAAGCTTAATACTAACACATAATCCTGATGCTAACACACAACCCTAATGCTAACACATAATCCTGATGCTAACCCTAATGCTAACACATAATCCTGATGCTAACACACAACCCTAATGCTAATGCATAATCCTGATGCTAACCCTAATGTTAACACACAATCCTGATGCTAACCCTAATGTTAACACATAATACTGATGCTAACTCACAACCCTAATGCTAACACATAATCCTGATGCTAACACACAACCCTAATGTTAACACATAATCCTGATGCTAACCCTAATACTAACACATAATCCTGATGCTAACATACAACCCTAATGCTAACACATAATCCTCATGCTAACCCTAATGCTAACGCATAATCCTGATGCTAACCCTAACGCTAACACATAATCCTGATGCTAACCCTAATGTTAATGCATAATCCTGATGCTAACACACAACCCTAATGCTAATGCACAATCCTGATGCTAACACACAACCCTAATGCTAATGCATAATCCTGATGCTAACACACAACCCTAATGCTAATGCATAATCCTGATGCTAACCCTAATGTTAACGCATAATCCTGATGCTAACACACAACCCTAATGCTAATGTATAATCCTGATGCTAACACTAATGCTAACACATTACCTTGATGCCAACCCAAAACCCTGATGCTAACACATAACATGTTAATCCTGAAGCTTAACCGACTGTATCTGGTTGTCCTCCATCAGATCCTGGTAGCCATTGAGCAGGTGCAAGACCTGATGCCAAAAATCGAGCGGAGTCGTTCAGAGCCGTCGCTTCATCGTGCTGTCCATGCTGAGGACCTGGACCCTCAGTTGTTCCAAACCACCCGGCTGATGCCCCTTTAAACCTCCTGCAGAGACCTTTAGGACTCCTGCTCCAGCGATGTCTTCTCAGCTGGCTGGCCTGATGGACCACAAGCCCCCCCACTCCCCCTCCGAGCTGCAGCACCTAGTAACAGACTGTAGGTGGAGAGAAGAGCCTCCAGCAGCAGGTGGAGGTGCTGCTGATGCTCTGACTCACTCACAGTCAGACCATCAAACACTGACATTGTTCTCAACAGACCCAGGAGGAAGGAGCACGAGGTCACACGCCCACTTCTCTGAAGCTGTTTCTGTAACTATCCAACACTGTCTGGACAGAGCGTTCACCATTACTTTAGTAGGTCGTAGAAGAAAGACCTGAGAAGGTCCGGATGAGTCCAAGTTGGACCGGAACCGAGCACAAAATACTAGTTAATCTAACTTTTAGTTTCTGAGACATTTTTGTGGGAAATGAGTGGAGTGGAACCAACTTCCGCTGATCGGAACAAGTGGAGCAGAATACGGACCTAACTGGATCATCAGAACCACCTCTACATCACTTCTGTCTTTTGTTCTGACTGGTGTAATCTAGAAACAAGGTTTCATCTGAAGTCGGACCAAACTTGGATGGAAGGGAGCAGAAACGTCTCTAACTGGGTCTGGGTCAGTAAGACATTACTGGTCTGTTGGTGGGCCGGTCCAAAAGTCTAAACATTCCTACTTCTGTGGCTCTGAGAACCAGAGAACACCAGGTCCAAACCGTCAAGTCCACTGACCAGCTGGTAATGGTTAACACTACCTGACCTGAGCGGGTTCTGGAGGGTTCAGAACCGGGTTCGTCTTTTAAACACAATAAACACGAGTCTGAGTTCTCTCAGGTGTCTGGAGACGTTTGTTGGACCTTTCCTTCCATTTGTAGTGAACCAGACCTCCAGGCAGTGGTTCTGGACTAACGGTTGATGGTTCTGGTCCGTCTGAACCTCAGTTAGGCCCGGTTTCTTCTCGCTTTGGTTCTCTCTAACCAGAACATCACGGTACTGTTTTAGTTTTAGGAGCCTTTGGACCGATGTCTGGAGCTCAAACTAAAGATGAAACCGTGAATCAGAGTTCTGGTCTGGGTTCGTCTTTAGTCTGAAGCTGCTGAGCAAACGGACCTCCTCTTAATGCCCACCAGTCAGAACTTTGTTTATTTTAAAGGCAGTCTTTCCTGCAGGAAGTTGTTTATGATGGCTCAATTCTTTGGGATCCACTCTGACGGACTCGGGATTTTCCTACCTGGCTCCTGCCTCACCTCCTAACCTGGAGCGAACTAGAGCCGTGGTTCCTGGACACTTCTGGGTGAGCTGGACCTCCTGAACGACCCGGTTCTGCGTGTGCTGGTTTGGCAGGACACCTGGACCTGGTGGTATGTGTTGATTGAGTGATCCCGGTGGTTTCTGGGTGTCTGTTTCTGCTGTGTACAGTTACATTTTTTAATGATAAAATTCTACTGGTTTCTATTTTTTGTGATGGTAAAAGAACAAAATAATTTTAAAGTGTAAAGGAAATTTTAGTATTTAGTTTTTTGTGATCAGAGACGTGAACAGAGGATTTTCCTGGAAATAAAGACGTGAAGCTGTTCTCGCGTTTCATCTTGTTCTGTAGGGACCTGTTCCACTCACAGTGACCTCTTCTGGTTCGACAGTGGGGATGACTCAGAGTGTGTGTGGAGCCGATTGGTTGAAAATGGCCAAAGCAGGAAGTGGGTTCTGTCTAAAGGCAGAACCACAGGCAGGAAGTTGGCGTGTGGCAACAGGAAGACGTGGAACACGATGCAAAGCTGAAGCAAAGGAGCTTTATTAGTTCTTTCAATTTATACAATCTTCACTTGAATCTTTTTTTTTGGGGGGGGGGGGGGGGGATTAAAAACATGACACAAAGCCAAACTACAACATTTCACACGGCATCGTTGCAGAGAGCAAAAGAAAAATCAACTTTATTAAATTGGTAAGAAAACATGTTGAATCTCCAGCTTTTATCAGCCGAACAGAAGAGTTTTTATCCAACAGGATTCCTAAAGTTTGTAGCCCAGTCCAGAACGACTGATGTGGCAGAAGAGCGTCATGGCAAAACACATTCCCAGGACCTGGAATGAGACATCAGGATAAATGAATCATTACTGCACATCTTCACTGAGTGGAATGTCAGTCATTTTCCGCTCATCCACCCGGAGAAAGCTCGTCTAGAGCCACAGCGGTGACGAGCCTCTACGGAAGAGGTTAGCGGCCACTGAAAAACATTTTATTTCAATAACGGGTTTAAAATGAAGAAAAATCTTTTGCTAAAGCCTAATTTATACTTTTGCGTTGGTGCGGAGGGTAACTGAGACGTGCCCCGATTTTTAACTATCCATCAAGATAGCGCAAGCTCGTGATTGGTCAGGACACCGCTTCCTGTAAATTTGTCAACAGCACCGCCTTTGCCCACTCAAAAAATAAAAGGATATTTAGCGGCAGACACAAAACGGATAGAAAAACGGGTTTTAGAGGTGGAGGACAAAGAGGGACGCATTTGTCTGGCTTAAAGTCTCAAATGCATTAAAACAAGGTAAGACAATAGTAAATACACCATCGTGGAGCGGACACGTGACTGTAAAGGTAAAAGTCTATATTAGGCTTTAGAGCAGGGGTGTCAAACATGCGGCCCGCGGGCCGGATCCGGCCCGCAAACGGGTTAAATCCGGCCCGCGGAATGGTTGTGTGAACTTTATTTTCATACTTTACAATGTAGAGTGAAAATAAACGTATCTTTGTGAGCAATTTTTCTCTGTAATGAGTATAAGTGCAACAAAGCTGCGCTCAAGGCTCACACAAGAACTTGAATCACATCCTGAAGTTGGCCGCCACTCAGGGTGTGACTCCTGATATTGATGTGCTGGTGAAAGCTAAAAGATGTAAAGTAAAATGAGTCAAATATACTTGTAAGTGCTGCATGAATCTGATCTAGCCATGTGATCTGTAAGCTCTTTGAATCACTAAGGAATGTTTTTTTTATTTATTGATTTTTTTTTTTCCAAATTTTCAAGTATACTTCAGGTGTTGTACAATTTTGGATACGCTGTCCTCAGGCTCCAGCCTTGCTTTATATTGATTGTATAAAAACAAAGAAAAAACAATCTGAAGTTGTTTTTAATTTACCGGTCCGGCCCACTTGGGACTAGATTTCCCTCAATGTGGCCCCTGAGCTAAAATGAGTTTGACACCCCTGCTTTAGAGTATAGATGTGTATTTGTATGAGATTTTCAGATGTAAAATCTAACTATTCCTGGTACTTGAGTGTTTTTCTGCTGCAGATATTCAGTTATTTTACATGACATCTATATTTTTCTAAATGAGTTCATTAAAAATGTTTTGCCAAAATCTGAGCCGTCGTAGATGCTCGAAAGAGACCGCTGTGGACCCAGACCTGCAGTAGCAGGGTCTGTAACCCTGCTGAAGCTACAGTATATTTTCTGTCTGACTTTCTAGACCATAAACAGCCTCTGTTATGAGAAATGGTGATTACGTCCTTCAGGACTCGTGAGCTAACGGCTAGACCATTTCACGTCACGGCTTATTTCAGCATAAACGGTTTTCTGTTCCTTCTTTTTCACAATCTGGAAATCTCAACATTTCTGGAGGTTTGGGTTTAGGGTCGGCGTGCTTTGAGCCAATCGGGTTTCAGCTTCACAAATTCAAAAGGCCTGTGGGGTGCTCTGAGCACACAGCTGGTCTGTGACATCATCACTGACGCAACGCCAAATCGGTGTTGACTCAACAGTCCTGGCCTCTCCTGTCTTCACAGGATGAATGTTGGAGGACGCTGATGACTCGACTGCTTCTGTCTCTGAAGCATTTGGATGACGGGTCCCAGTACTCACGGAGAACTGGTCTAAAATACAGAGCATGCCCCGGCGTGGCTTTCTCGCATCTACTTTCATTTCATTGCTCAGTTCACTTCTGGCTCTAGGATTTGAACCCGCAGCTCACCTCGATGATGCACAGGATGATGACAGAAATTCCAGCAGTCAGGAAGTTCTCCTCAAACCAGTTGTTGAGTTTCACCAAACAGCCCTGGAAAACCAACATTCCCTGTGAAAAACGAATGCCTCAATCTGAGGCACCAACTGGTGAAACCGGTCTACCTGATCTCTGTACTTGGGTTTGGAACTGCCACAGCTGTCCTGACAGCAGGAATCAGGAACCAGATGTCCCCAGTCGGTGAAATTATGAACTCCGCAGCAATCCATCTGAGGACAAAGGAAACCAAGCTGAGAAGGTGTGTTCCCGCAGGTGCAGCAGGTTCCTGCTCTCAAACCTCACCAGCTCCTGGACCAGGTCCCAATCGCTCTGAAGAGTAGAATTCATTCCCTTTCTTTGTGCATTCTTCAAACCAGAGTTTAGATCATCAGTGATCTTCTGTGTAATCTGAAAGGATTAGAATTCACATGTGGATTATTTTCCAGCAGAAGGGTCGGATCTGGCTTCTGATGGACGCAAGCCTACCTCCTTCTCGTACATGAGCAGCAGACATGCTGCAGTCAGCTCCATCAGCATCAGGGCAAACAGCACCAGGAAAAACTGTTGGGAGATCCAGAAGAACAAGGAGGAAAAGTTAGCAGTCACATGGGTTGAGGCGTCTCCAGACTCTGTCACATGTTCTGTGTCCTTAGAGCTAGAGGTCGTTTCCAGTCCCATTCTGTGGGTTTGCTTCACTGGATCACACTTCATCAGCTCATATAGAACATCAGCTGAAGGGAAGGCAGATGTTGGCTCCACCAGTAGAGCCCACAGATCAGGAGAAGTTACTGGCAGAGCTAACCCGAGTGGACGAACAGAACCATGCTAAAGAGACACTAGGTTTTATATTTTTAACTTCTAAAGCTCTGGAAGATGCTTCTGTTACTGGTGAAACCGGAAAAAAAGTGAATGTGGTGCAAAGTTCATGCAGAATATAAAAGGTGAAACTAACACGCAGCTCAACAAAATAAAGAACACAAAAATAAGAATTAAATTTATTGTCGGTGTGTCCTGAACCAAGGCGAGACACGCAAAGCAGATGCAGGCAGACCACGAGAGCGGCCATCAAGGCGCTCATCCTAGATGTGAATGAATGAAATATTCTTATTGAATAATTTGTTCTTTACATAGCTGAACGTGCTGACCACAAAATCACACCAACACTAACAACGGAAATCAAATTCACCAACCCATGAAGGTCTGGATCTGGGGTCACACTCGAATCTAAAGTGGAAAGACACTACAGGCTGATCCAGCTGGGAGGAAGTGTCCTTAAAACAAGTCACAATGAGGCTCAGTAGTGTGTGTGCCTCCGCGTGCCCGTACGACCTCCCTACAACACCCGGGCAGGCTCCTGATGAGGTGGTGGATGTTCTCATAAGGGATCTCCTCCCAGACCTGCACTAAAGCAACTCCTGGACAGTCTGTGGTGCAACGTGGTGTTGGTCGATGGAGCGAGACACGATGTCCCAGATGTGCTCAATTGGCTCCAGGGCTGGGGTAACGAGCGGGCCAGTCCATAGCATCAGCATATGGTCTCACAAGGGGCCGAGGATCTCATTTCAGTACCTAATGGCAGTCAGGCTACCTCTGGCGAGCACATGGAGGGCTCTGCGTTTTCCAAAATAAATGTCACCCCACGTCATCACTGACCCACTGCCTAACTGGTCATGCTGGAGGATGTTGCAGGAAGCAGAACACTTTCTTTGGTGTCTGCAGACTCAAACTGTCACATCTGTCACATGTGCTCAGTGTTCACTGCTTTCATCTGTGAAGAGCACAGGGCACCATTGGTGAATTTGCCAATCTTGGTGTTCTCGGCAAATGCCAAACATCCTGCGTGGTGTTGAGCTGTAAGCACAACCCCCACCTGTGGCTATTAGACCCTCATGCCACCCTCATGGAGTCCGTTTCCGACCGTTTGAGCAGACACATGCACATTTGTGACCTGCTGGAGGTCATCTTGCAGGGCTCTGACTGTTCCTCCAGTTCCTCCCTGCACAAAGGCAGCCGAGCTTGGTTGTTTCCCTCCTACAGCCTCCTCTACATCTTCTGATACACTGCCCTTTCTGCCGGTTGCACCTCCATGCTCTGGACACTATGCTGACAGACAAAACAACCCTTCTTGCTACAGCTCGCATAAATGTGCCATCCTGGGTGAGCTCCACTACCTGAGCCACCTGTGTGGGTTGTAGACTGCGTATTGCGCTATCACCAGCATCAGCCAGCCAGCACAGGAACTGAGAAGTGGTCTGTGGTCACCACCTGCACCACTTCTTTATTGAGGATGTCTTGCTAATTGCCTCTAATTTCCACCTGTTGTCTATTCCATTAGCACAACAGCAGGTGAAAGAGTGTTGCTTCCTAAGTGGACAGTTAGACTTCCCAGGAGTGTGCCTGATCCTCCCACTCACGTTCAGACAAGCTCTCTCACTGGCGGTTTTTAAGAGCTGGACGAAGACTCACTTTGGTGCAGTGGCGTTCCCTCAGCACATGGGTTAGCTATAGTTTTGGACAATTTTAGACATCTTGGATCATTTTTATCCAGCTGTATTTTAATTATTTGATCTTGTTATTTACTGACATTCTTTGCTTTTGTTTCATGTTTTTGTTTGTTTTTATGTATATTTTATTGGCCATGTGTTGTGTTTTTGTACGTGTGCAGCACTTTGCTTCGCCTCTTAGACGATGGAAAGTGCCAGAGGTGTGACCAAGGCCTAGTCCACACGTAGCCGGGGTTTTTTAAAAACGAATATCCGCCCCTCCAAAAACTTGCATCCACACCACCGCGTTTTAAAAAAAAACTCTGTCCACACGTACCCGGATAAATACGTTGTTAAGGACATGCCAGACCTGTAGGCGGCAGTACTTCCCCGTTCTTAACCTCGTCCTTCGTCTGTGGTCTTCCACAAGGAGCAGTAATTCCGCTTAAAAAAACAAACAAGCAAAAAGCGCTTGGACAATTGATGGATCGGGTAGTGACAGAGCGCAGCTCTGAGGGCTTCCATGCTGTCGGCTAGTGTAAACACAGGTCGCACACGTGATGTCAGCATTTTTTTGTCGCGGAAAGTGACGTTGCGGACCTTAAATCTCCGGTTTTGTCTGTCCACACACAGACACCCAAAACGGAGAAAACGCAGACCTTCACTTTGGCCTGAGTTTTTAAAAAGATCCGTTTTCGTGTGAAAAAACTCCGTTTTCGTGTGGATGACAGGCCAAAACGTAGAAAAATATCTACGTTTTGGCAGATCCCCGGCTACGTGTGGACAGGGCCCAAGTCACTGCTTTGCAAGTCACAAGTCTCTCTAGTCAAGTCTCAAGTCAAGTCCAAGTCAAAGACAACCAAGATCAAGTCGAGTCCAAAGTCAATGATCTGGAAATCCAAGTCATGTTCAAGTCCAAAACAATGTCGGACTCCGTAATTTTCTCTGCCCCCCATGCCTGATCGGACCAGTGACGACATGTTTAGCCGCATGCTGTCCTTCAACCGCTGGTTGTCTAGGTGGTGTCCTGAAAACGACGGCTACATTGATAATTGGAAAACTTTTGGGGAAAACATGGTCTGATGTGGAGAGACGACATCCATTCCTCATGGATGGAGCAGCTCTTCTTTCTAGGAACATGGCCAATTTTATTAGTCCTCCACGACAACCCAGGGTCCAGACCAGGAAGTAGAGTCGTAGTTTAACACACCCCTCTGCAGCTTCTGGACTGTTACCCACCCACTACTCCATAGAGACAGTGTCCTACCCACGGCCAAAATCACACAGATTAAATGCTAAATAAAGCAAATCATGGAAATCTCATAAATATTAGAACAAATTCAACTGAGCAGAAAACTAGAAAAATCAAATGTGGGTTGTTGAACATTAGATCCATTATTTCTAAGACTTTGTTAGTTAATGACTTGATTTGTGATAATCAGATCTCTTTGCTCTCTCTCACAGAATCCTGGCTGCAGCAAGAGGACTATGTTAGCTTAAATGAGTCGACTCCTTCTAATTATTTAAATCATCATATTGCTCGAAGTACAGGGCGAGGAGGACGAGTAGCAACCATTTTTCATTTGGATTTATTAATCAGTCCCTTACCAATTAATAGTTACAGTTCGTTTGAACATCTTATTCTTAGTTTTCCTAATCCAGATTGCAAAACTGTAAAACCACTCTTGTTTGTAGTTTTATATCGCCCACCAGGCCCTTACTCTGAGTTTTTGGATCACATCTCTGATTTTTTATCTGATTTGGTGCTAAATACTGATAAGGTCATTGTAGTGGGGGATTTTAATATTCATGTGGACATTGAAAATGATAGCCTCATCGTAGCCTTTAGTAATATCTTAGACTCAATTGGTTTTACTCAAAGAATACATAGCTCCACCCACTCCTGTCATCATACATTAGACCTTGTGCTGACTTATGGCACAGAGTGTGAGGAAATAACGATCTTTCCACATAATCCAGTCCTCTCAGACCACTTTCTGATAACCTTTGAGTTTTTTATAACTGAGTTCTCGAGACATGAAAGTAAATTTCACTATAGTCTGTCTCTATCTGACAACGCAGTTGCATCTTTTAAATCTACTGTTCCATCTTTACTGTCCTCAGCATCTCAGAGAAACGTAGCAGAGGGCAATATTTTCAGTTCTAGCCCCTCACAAATTGATGCCTTAGTTCATCATGTTAATTCCTCTTTACGTGTGGCATTAGATGATGTTGCCCCTTTAAAAAAGAAGATAATTAGGGACAGGAAGTTGGCTCCCTGGTTTAATTCTAATTTACGAGCCTTAAAAAAAAACTAGGAAATTGGAGAGAACATGGCGCTCTTTGCACCATGAGGAGGCCTACCTATCCTGGAAAAATAGTCTTGTGCTTTATAAAAATAAGCTTCGACAAGCTATAACTGCTTATTTTTCAACACTAATTGAAGAGAATAAGCATAATCCTAAATTTCTTTTCAGTACGGTTGCCAAACTTACACAGAATCATAGCTCTGAGCCATCTATTCCCTTAGCACTCAGCAGCAATGACTTCATGGGATTTTTTACAAGTAAAATTAATTCTATTAGAAACAAAATCTTTAGCATCCTCCCCAATGCGATTTCTTCTTCCTCAGTAAGTGAGGCAGCATCAGAGGTGACTGTAGAACCTCATCTGTGCTTGAACCGTTTTGATCCAGTTGAGCTTTCAGAGTTATCAAAAATATTAGCTTCATCTAAACCTTCAACTTGCATTTTGGATCCAATCCCAACCAAATTATTTAAAGAAGCATTGCCTTTGGTTACTGCCCCCATTCTAGATACAATCAATCTATCATTAGTAAATGGATATGCACCACAGGATTTTAAGGTTGCTGTAATCAAACCTTCACTTAAGAAGCCTTCTCTGGATCCAGATGACCCAATGAATTATAGACCAATATCTAACCTTCCATTTTTATCCAAAGTCCTGGAGAAAACAGTGGCCATCCAAGTATGTGAGCATACACTAATGCTCTGTTTGAGGAATTTCAGTCTGGTTTTAGAGAGTATCACAGCACTGAAACTGCATTAGTGAGAGTTACAAATGATATTCTCATGGCCTCAGATAAGAATCTTGTGTCTGTTCTAGTCTTGTTAGATCTCAGTGCTGCCTTTGACACAGTTGATCACAATGTTCTTTTAGAAAGACTTGAACATGTTGTAGGGATCATAGGAACAGCGTTAGGCTAGTTTAAATCCTACCTGTCTGACAGATTTCATTTTGTAAATGTACATGACATATCGTCTTCATACTCCAGGGTTACTTGTGGAGTACCATAGGGTTCAGTGCTTGGACCAATTCTTTTTACTATTTATATGCTCCCAATTGGTAAAATCATTAGACAGCATGGGATAAACTTCCACTGTTATGCTGACGATACTCAGCTATATTTATCCATTAACCCTGATGAACCTAATCAGTTGGGTAGATTACAGGCTTGTCTTGAGGACATAAAAAATTGGATGACTCTAAACTTTTTGCTTTTAAATCAAGACAAGACGGAAGTTCTCATCTTTGGACCAGAAATCCAGAAAAGGAAATTGCTTAGTCAATCACCTGACCTGAATGGCATTACATTAATCTCCGAGAACAAAGTAAGGAACCTTGGTGTTATCTTTGACCAGGAGTCATTCAAATCCCAGGTTAAACAGGTTTGTAGGATTTCCTTTTTCCACCTTTGGAATATTGCTAAGATTAGAAGCATCCTTTCCAGGAGTGATGCTGAAAAACTAGTTCATGTATTTATTACAACAAGACTGGATTACTGTAATTCATTGCTCTCAGGAAGTCCACAGAATGTAGTTAAAAGTCTTCATCTTGTCCAAAATGCTGCAGCTAGAGTTCTGATGAGAATTAAAAAGAGAGATCATATCGCTCCTGTCTTAGCTTCTCTACATTGGCTACCTTTTAAATTCAGAATAGATTTTAAAATCCTTCTTCTCACATATAAAGCTCTTAATAATAAAGCTCCATCATACATCAGTGATCTGATTGTTCCTTACGTTCCTAACCGAGCACTTAGCTCTCAGACTGCAGGTTTACTGGTGGTTCCCAGAATATCTAAAATTAGGATGGGAGGCAGATCTTTTAGTTATCAGGCTCCTCTCCTGTGGAACCAGCTCCCAGCTTTAGTCCGTGAGGCAGACACCTTGTCTACTTTTAAGAATAGGCTTAAAACATTTTTATTTGATAGGGCCTATGGTTAAAATCTGATGTTAGCCTAAATCTGGACAAGTGGGGGAGTAGAGGGAGGTGGAGTGTACAGTTGGTAAAGATGGCTCTCCTCTGCCCTGCCTCCAACATGCCTCCATCTTAATAGGATAGATTATCCAGAGTTATCTCTGTAGTTATGCTGCTATAGGCTTAGACTGCTGGAGGACACACTGACCACTTTCCACACTCTACTACTTTCTTCTACAATCTGCTCTTTAACTGTATTATTTCCTGCTATTTCAGCTGTTAACTTTATTTTTTCTCTGAGTGTTTTTCTCCCCAGAAGAAGCTAAAATGATGTTCTGCTGAGCTGTGGTGGCCTCATGGAGGGGGCCATCGTCTAGCACACTGCTGCTAACCACTTAAACATTCTCCCTCTCCTGAAACTTTTTGCTTTCCTTGACGTTGGATGTGCTGCTACTAGTTTATCCGTTTAATTATAGATCCACTATGATAAATACAATAAAGTTTATCTCTCACCAAATAGAATATTTACTAAGAAATCACAATATAACTATAGACACATTACTTTGTCTTTGTGTGTGTGTGTGTGTGTGTGTGTGTGTGTGTGTGTGTGTGTGTGTGTGTGTGTGTGTGTGTGCCCCTGCTCTGTCTTCTCGATCCCCAGTGAGTCGTGGAGGATGGCTGCTTATACTGAGCCAGGATTCTCTGGAGGTTTCTTCCTGTTAAAAGGGAGTTTTCCTCTCCACTGTCGCTTTATGCTTGCTTAGTATGAGGATTGCTGTATAGTCACTGACACTAGTCAGTGACTTGATGCAATTTGCTGGGTTCCTTATTTAGGAAACATTATTTCTGATTGGCTTAATGAACTGTCCTGAATTGGAATGTTTATTATGTGAAGTGCCTTGAGACCACTCTTGTCGTGATTTGGCGCTATATAAATAAAATTGAATTGAATTAACTTTGAATTTTCAAGTCATAATCAAGTCTTCTGCCCAACTTCAATTTCATGACAATGATACTAAATAAAATCCAGAATTAAAGCTTCTTAAAGCTTCATTTATTTGCTCAAACAAGCAGGAAGTGAAACAGAAACTGATTATAAACAAAGCGCTGCTGCTTTTAGCAGAACAAGATCAAACCCAAAACCAAGAATGATTTATGATTTTTGTCCATGTCATGTCAATTTTGTGCTAAAATATAAAATATGCTCAAGTCATCATCAAGTCAACAGATGCAAGTCGATTCAAGTCGCAAGTCATTGGTGTTCAAGTCTGAGTCAAGTCGTAAGTCTTTATAGATTTTATCAAGTCAAGTCAGAAGTCATTAAAATAATGACTCGAGTCCAAGTCATGTGACTCGAGTCCACACCTCTGCTATTTTGCAACATCACAATAAGGGATGGGTCCCGGGTCGCTGGGTTCCGGGCTCGGTTGGCTTGGGGGTGGGAGGCTGCGGGCGGGCCTGTGGGCTTGCCACTGATATCTCCCGGGACTCTGCCGGCTGCTGGTTGTGTCCCCCTGGGGCAATCCTCTGCGCCTCTCGAGAGGGGGGCTTTACTGGTTACAGTCTCCCTGGGGTCCCTGTGCTCTGGGGCAGCTCATGGATCTCTGGGACTTGGAGCTCCCTCTGTCTTTTACACATTTTTGGGGCAGATCTGTGGCCCCTCACACTCTCTATTGGATGCTCCTATAGAGAAACCTTACACACACACATATACTTATATATATATATAAAGTCAGAAGTCACTAAAATAATGACTTGAGTCTGACTCGAGTCCAATTCATGTGACTCAAGTCCACGCCTCTGGAGCACAGAACCGATTACAGGACATTTGTCCCTCAGGTCCCCCCTCATGCAGTCCGTTTCCACTGGTTTAGTCAGAGATGTTCAGTGCCCTCCTGGAGGTGACTCGAGAGCTTTATCCCTTTCCTCTTCCCACAAAGGAGCATATGTTTGGTCCTGCTGATGGGTTAAGGACCTGTGACGGTTATGTCCAGCTCTTCTACATGTCTAACTACATGTCTCCTGGAATCACCGCCATGCTCTTGAGACTGTTCTTGGAGTCCCAGCAAACCTTCGGGCATGTATTGGTATCTCTGGTGAAGTAGGACTAGCTGTACCAACTCTGTAGGGTCCGGGTATCTCCTCATGCTACCAATAATATACTGACCCTAGTCGCATGCTAGTGTGATGCAGTCAGAGAACAATGAGGAAGAAACAAATGTCTGTCCTTCAGCTGTATCCATCACTATTATATGGTTGTCTCATTTGACCCTTTCCCCAACAGCCCAACTCAGTGCAACTTCAATTGGTCCGGTTAGACAACCTTTCCATCAGTAATGATGAGTTTAGTGCAGAGTTTACCGCTGACTGTTGGCACCTGCTTCCATGTGGTTCCAATGAAAATGCAATGTCAGTAACCAGCGATCACTGGTTGGCTAGGGAGTGGAGTAACTGGTTGCTCAAGAGTTTTCCGTCTGCTCTCTGCAGCCTTTTCTGGGTTCTGGTTCTGACAATAAAACACAGACTAAGCAGGATGTTTATCATCATCGCCTCCAGGACCCGCCCTCACGACGAGTACACCCTCTGGAGTTGTTTCTCAGTTGTAAGGAAAAACAACCCACACCATGACCCTCAACTAAGTTCTGATTTACATCAAAAATACTGAAAGAAGAGAAGCAAATTCACTCCGAGAGTGTGTGTGTGTGTTACCGTCAGCAGCAGGCAGCGATTCTCCTTCAGCGCTCCCAAAAATCCGAGGAATGAGACGCAGGTGATGACGATGCCACTGATCAGCAGGATGTGAGCAATGTTCATGTTGGCCAGGCTCGGAGTCAGAGATGCTATTTTCCAGTTCAGTGTCATGTACACGCCAAATCCCAGAACCGCAGCTCCACAAACCTAACAGGAGACACATGCACACAGCACAAGTGGGTCTTCGTTCTCACAAGCCACATGTGGCCCCTGTGAGGGGGACGATTGGATCAGTGGATCATCAGAATAAAAATCAAGTACCTGTTTCTTAAACTTGAATTTAAAACGCGTCTTCCAGAGTCATAGAACCCCCTAAAGCACTTTACAACACAATCAGTCATTCACCCATTCACACACACATTCAAAACCTGGTGGTGGTGAGCTACAATGTAGCCACAGCTGCCCTGGGGCGCACTGACGGAGGCGAGGCTGCCGAGCACAGGCGCCACCGGTCCCTCTGACCACCACCAGCAGGTAATGAGGGTTAAGTGCCTTGCCCAAGGACACAACATCAACATTTTTTGCCGATAGGATCAATCCTTCAACCTTCCGATTAACATAACGTAGTAATAAAAATACATGATTTCTTCTGAAAACTACCAGCGTCCTTATTTCATAGTAACATAAAACTTTGTTCTTTGTCCTTTAAGACCTGCAGCTCACTCTGAGAAACTGTGCTTTTAGCCGCTTGTACAACTCGGTCAGCTTGGCCTGAGCTGGGTGGGGAGCCCCCATGAGCTGCAGTCAGAGAAGATGTTTCCCCCACTGCATCCAAATGATAATGAATTGCAAATGACCTCGCCATGCTGGTGGAGGTCGGATGAACCGGTGGCTTCAGTCAGTGTGCCCCAGGGTAGCTGTAGCTACAACGTAGCTCATCTGTAGATAAATACTTTTCACTGTAACATCGAGTTGTTGGCAACTGAAAAACTAGTTTGAGATAGTTTTAGAGATGTTAGCATTGTTAGCTCAGTCAGCCTCTAGCCTGCTTCATCCAATATTAGAGTAAAAAAGATGCTGTGGCTCCTTTGTGGTACAAGACATAACTTCAGGGTCGCTCCTGTTTACTGGCTTGACAAAACACTGCTGCATTTTTCTGGTCGGTGTCGAATTACATGTGCTGGCACAGATTTGGCATATGATTGGCTCTGGAACCAGGTAATTTGTAGGCGGGACAGATTGTAAACAGTAACTAAGCTTTTTTGAAAGGAGAACCACTGACACTGACCCCTAACTGTCTGAGAATGAAATATGTTTCAATAATCTCCCTTCCAACATGACTGAGACAGTAGACTGGTGATTATGCCACTGCAGAATGTGTACTTATAGCACCTGTCAATTATAAAGGAATAATTTAAATATTGATTATGGACTGCTGATATATGTGCAACAGATGTGGCTGCAGTGTAGAAGTTTGGAGTTGTCTTAATGGGTTTCTTGTTTTAAAGGTCCTTTATCGTGCAAAATCCACTTTTTTGAGCTTTTGACCATATTACATTGTTATTTCCTCAAGAAAAACACTCCAAAAGAAGCATGCATTTTCCTATCCCAGCTGTAAACCCCCTATTGTTCTGTCCAGCAGCTGCAGAAAGCTGGATGGGGCATAGTTGCATCATCGTGTCCATCAATCTGCATAAATGTGCAGGTCTCCGGGTCTGCAGCCGGTGGGATTTGAACCAATCCTAGCATCTCATTTCAGGGTTGAAGTAATGGGTAACAAAAATAACTTATGATTCACAAAAAATGACTAGTGCCAATGGTAATTTTTCATCATATATTGTGCCTACCATTGAATGATACAGGCCCTTCAATGACACTTGGAATCTGATAACTGATGTCAACTCCAGGTCTGAACAGGACATACCATAAATCAACTGAATTGAATTGAACCTGAATTATGTACCAGGCCGTGTTATCCTGTGTTTTATGTATATTGGTAGCTTGTATCCTTATACTAGATCAGTAAACCCACGCCAAAGACCCAGGTGCCAAATGCACGGCTCTACTGTGTAGAGCAGGAGTATTCAATTCTGGTCCTGGAGGGCCGGTATGCAGCATGTTTTAGGGGTTTCTCTGCTTCAACAAATTTGAATCAATTGCTGAATCATCTGTGCAGCAGCTCATCAGGCTCTGCAGAAGCCTGTTCATCACCTGCAGATTGAAATCAGGTGTGTTGAAGCAGAGTTAAAGCTAAAACTTCCAGGATACCAGCCCTCAAGGCCCAGAACGGAATACCCTTGGTGTAGAGCGAGGAGAAGAGTGGTGTAATGGGTAGAAACATACGTACAAAACACAGGAAGTTGGCGACACACATGGTGTACTTTAAACACTTGAGGCAGCTTTGAGCCATGATCCGACCTGCAACAGAAACAAGGGTTCGTGTTGTCATCTAAAACTCGCATCAAAGGTCAAAGTCAATCTGATCTGAGAATCTGGTGTTAATGCGGGCCGATTCCAACAGAACTATGTGGTCAGGCAGCAGTGACGAGAGGCTGACGCATCACTTCCTGTTTGCCCTTCAGTTACCAGAAGAATGAACTGTTTCTGTCTAAATCTAAATGACACTGACAGCTCAGTTCTGGAGGGTGACACAAAATCTCACTACTTCCACCAAATGTAAAGTAAAACATCTGACTAAAAATACATTTATATCACTTTGTTGTTGTTGTTTAGTCTTAGTGTGTGTCCGAATTTTGTTTTTGAATCCACATAAACTTTATCCAAAAACATGAAAAGTTTCTGAAATGTCAAATCCATGTTTGTTTAACATTTAAATTAATTCTTTTAGACATTTTATCTCCTTGGGCTCTGGTGTTTAACACATAATTTCTCTGTAATGAGGAGTAATAAACTATAACAAAACATGAAATCTCACATGGATGATTAAACTGACCAATCAGAATCAATCATTAAAGCTGAATTTTTACCGTTTAGATTGGGTTCTTCTTGTTGTTCGGTGTGCTGTTATGCTCGCTTCCACTTCACATCATGCTACTGAGCTCAGCTCATGGGACTTTCTGCAGAGCCTCTCACTTCCTCTTTAGATTCAGCAACATGGAAAAAATAGACCTGAAGACCAACAGCTGGTTGTGGTCTGAAACAGGATGTTATATTTAGAGAAAAATAGCCCCAATGATGAACTGTGGGCAGCAGCTCTTTGACGTAACAACATTAATTATTTTTGTTTAGAGGATTTTATTTCTCACTTTGATCATTTAAACCAAACATTCTTGAATTGGAGTTGTAGGCTTCCTTCTGAGAGCCACAAACGGCCCTCGAGCCTCACTTTGAATAGTCCCACTTTACGCTCTTGATGTCTGTTAAAGGCAGAGAAAGCGAATGAGCTCCTCTTGACACAAAAAGATGTCTGAAGCACCTTTCACATTAGGGATTCACCATGGTTCTATTCTTGTACTGATCTTATTGGTCATTTGCATGGGCAATTTGGGGCCATATGTAAAATCATGTTATATTCAGTAGATAAAAGCAGATCATTGAGAAGTCTTAAGCCGGGCGGACACTGTGCGACTTTTTCACTCGCAGCGTTCAGCTTCAGCTCAAACTGTACGACTTCCTCGCAGAGCAGATCTCACGAGTCATGTGCTCACACTGTACAACCCAGTTCTCGCATGCGACCTGACTGCTCACACTGTACGTCTGGTAGCAACACGTCAGCCCTAAAAATATGCTAAAAATAGCAGTTTTTACTCAACACGTCAGACTTTTTTGTCTTGTCTTGCCTGTTGTCCTTCGGGAGTGCTGCAGGAGGACACACAGGGATTTATGGGGGTTGGATGAGGAAAACGAAATAAAGAAAGTAAATCTGTGTTTGTGATCAGTTTAATTTGACATGAACACGACAAACACGCTTTCTTGACAATCTTTGTGAGTAAAAAAAACGTGTAGAAACAAAAACGAACAGCGTGTTTTATTAGGGAAATAGCGAGCGACCGGCGTTGATGCAGGATTGCGCGCGCATGCGCCGTGAGCGGTTCTGATACTTTTTGGCTCGCAGCTGCTCGCAGCGCCGCTTCAACAGTGCGATACCCTCACGAGGGACAAGCAAAATATTAAACACGCCAGAAGTCCATGCGACCTCACGACTGCTGATCGGCAGCTGGTCACGTGGTGTTAATCGCCTCTCGTAACCCCCGTACACTACACGACCGCTCGGCGCAAAACTCGCCCCAATGTCGTGGATTCTCGCACGACTGGAAAATCGGCTCAAAAAAGTGAAAAAGTCGCACAGTGTACGCCCGGCTAAGAACAGTTTCTGTGCTGGTCTGCATTTTAAAACCAGGCACCTGTGACTGACCCACATGAAAGTTGTTTCACTGGTGGAAAAACTGAAATTTTATTCAATGAAAATGACGGCTCAGAGTGGAAGTTTTTTTTTTCTATTAATATTTAAAATTAAAACCTATCTGTGAAGTCCCTCCCACAAGGTTGGGAGGGTTTAGTTTTAAAGGAGAAGAAGAAAAAAAAACAGATTAAAAGATGTTACCTAACAAAAAAAAAAGATCATCAAAATGTGCAACATAAAAGCAAAACCAGATAAAGGTGAGAAGCATGTTGATGAAAGTAGGCGAATGGAAAATCTGTTACTTTGGAAGGGTCAGTAAAACCAAAATAAACCACAACAACATAATCAGTGTATTGTGCCTGGGAACTGGATCAGGTTAGCTTGTAAGTCAACAGGTCAGGCCTGGATTTGCTGGGGAGTTAACCCCGGGTACTGGGTCCTAACAGACACAAGTGGGTGCAGGGGCCTGGCTTAAGGACCCGATGTTCTGTACTGGGTCCTGTGCTCACTGCACATTACCGTAGAGCTCCACTGGCATTTGCCAGAGGTCACCAGAATTGGCAGGTCCAGTACTGGTGCTGTGTGATTTTCACTGGAGAGCAGGTTGAGTTTGAAACTCATGTCACAGGTGTAACGTCCAGCAATGGTCAGTTTTTAGGTACAGTTTGACCATTCAACATCTTGTCAAAATGGAGACATGAGACTGCATGTGTTCCCTTTAAATCAGCCTGCCTTCATCCCATCAGCTGGAGCTCAGAGCCTCTCTGCAGCTCTGAACACAGACAACGAATTGTCAACAATAATGTTCTCTCCTCAAGGCTCAAGCTTCTCTTATCGTTCTACAGGATTCTTCGTGCCTTTGAATAAGGAACACTCACAGCTCAGATTAGTTGCTAAATCAAAGAATGATTTCCTAAATTAAACATGAACTTCTAAAACTTATAAGCTAGATAATCATTAAATAAACATTTGTTTATTGCTACTTATAATCATTATAATATAATGAAATGCTTCATTAATCTGTGCTCAGTGATTGAAGTTAGAAATGAATGTCATGTTATGATTACATTGATTGAAAAATGTTTCAGCATGTTAATATGACTGTCATGGTCTGCGTCTTCCTTCATGTGTCTCCTGATGTTTCCCCATCCCTCTCTAGATTCCCTTCTGTGTCTCATAGCGCCCTCATGTGTCTTTTGTCTGCGTCTCAGTTAAGTGTCTTATGTTGTTACCCTTTTAAATCATTCCTCCCAGGTCAGCTCCAGCCTCTTTGTCCCCAGCTCAGTGCATGTGTGTGTGTGTGTGTGCGTGTCCTCCCCAACTCAGTGTGTGTGTTTGTGTGTGTGTCCTCCCAGGTCAGCTCCAACCTCTTTGTCCCCAGCTCAGTGTATGTGTGTGTGTGTGTGTGTGTGCGTGCGTGTCCTCCCCAACTCAGTGTGTGTGTGTGTGTGCGTGTCCTCCCCAACTCAGTGTAAGTGTGTGTGTGTGTGTGCTCCTCCAGCTTGTTTGAGCCCTTCCCTCTGTCTTTAGATAATTGTTGTTTAGTTTTGTGTTTAGGTATTTGCCCTCCTCTGTTTCTGTTTTCCCAGTTAGATTATCATATTCACCTGTCTTCCCTCCAGCCCTCACTCCACACACCTGCTGCCATTTTTCCTAATTACTCCTCCCTGTGTATTTAAGCCCTGTCTTGTGTCGGTCCATTGTGGTATTCTGTCAGTTCTGCTCTAGTCTCTAATGTTTTGATCTCAGCCCTCTCCAGTTTCTAGTGGTTTGTCTCTAGTTTTTATTTTGGACTTATTGGAGTTTTGACTTCCAGCCCCTGTGGATTTATTCTTATTTTTTGGACTCATCCTTCAAAATAAAGGATTTTTCTTTATATTATCACCTGCCTCGTGTCATCTTGGGTTCCTGCATTTTGGGTACTACAAACCTGGTATCGTGACAGAATGGACCGACCAACCAGGACCCAGCGGACCCGGATGTACACTTTTGATGGCGATCCGGATTCATGTCGGACTTTTGTATTGGACGTGGTGAGATATTATGGCTCGGACATTATGGACACGGACTTGATAATTAATATGGCGCTCCTCCTAAGGGGAAGAGCCCTGCAATGGGCCAGCCATTACCTAGAGCAAAATCCATTAGAAGAGCTGTTTTTTTGGGACTTCGCTGAGGATCTGCGAGACGCTTGCAGCAGCCCACAAGCTCCCTCCTGTTCTATGGATTATAATCTATCAGCAAGTGCCGTTGTAAGAGCTGCCTTCTCCGCATCTTCGAAGCGCCACACCTCCACATCTTCACCTGGTCCTGACAGCGCCACCACTTCCTCTCTGAAAGGGTTAGAGATGCTGATTTTCCTCAAAAAACAAATGCACTTTATTTGGGAGCCTTAGAGTAAAAGTTGAGCTCCATGTAGAGCACATGGAAGAGGTGATTTACCAGTTCTTTGCAATTTGATGTTGATGTTTTATACTTGAATGGTGTTAAGTTCGTACACCACTTTGATTAGGCATATCTTTTGTTCGTTTTAATAAACTAGTCAGTCTAAAGGCCTAAGATGTACTTTATTTTGTTACCTGACTGAATTATGCAACTATCTCTTAGAGGTGGAGGTAAGCACTTTAATTTAACTTCTATTATTGTGTTGAGTTATTTTACAAACCTTTTCTACTTTTCTATAAAAACAAATTTGTTTACATTGTTATATTGTTGCACCGATAAGCTACAAAGATATAATTTTGTTTACTTGGTTTAAAGTGCTGCTGCACTAACAAAATTTTTCTACCTTCTTATGGTATCATGTTGGATGCCGTCGTATAAATAATAATAATAATAATTATAATAAAAACCTTAACAGGTCAATTTGGGTGCAGTCTCCCTTTTTTCTTGCTATTTTATTGTATTGCTGAAGGATCGGGACGGTATCGGCAGATACTCAAAATCAAATGACTCGGAATCGGATCGGGAGCAAAAATATGTGATCGGAACATCCCTACTACCTATCACAGATAAACAGTCAATGTCTCAAATTGAGGGGTTCCACTAAAACCCATTCCCTTTAAGCCACTAAATGTGGCACAGTTCATACTTCAAATTGTATTAGTCACCAGAATCCCAGGAATTAAATATTTGGCCAGGGCTTAACCTTTTGATGCATGAATTACAAAATCTTCAACCATGATTATTTAACAATTATTCTCATTAATCTTTGGGTGTGAATGAAACAAATGTCAACAAATATTGTTTGTAACATTTAATAATTTGCAAATAATTTACATGTTTACCTCAGTGGACAGTGTGCATTCTGAACATGAAATATGTTGACTGGACTTACTGAAGTCCACATGGAGGGGCTCAAATGCAATAAAATCTTCAACAGCTGTGCTTAACAAAAACAAATAAGTAAATTACAATTTTGAGAATCTGTTCAAATTATATTTTTCATCTTTATTTTCTAGTTATAGCCTTCAGGCCTCAATTGACCATGGTGGCTCAGAGCACAGCTGCAGTTTAGATTTTTTTAGGCAGGCTTTGCTTCCTTTCTGTTTCACATTTTCAACCTTTTTCTTTCTCTCCACCACTCTGTGCATCCACGTAACCATAATCCTGAAAGTTTGTAATTTTCTCATTTTTCTCTCTTGTGCTATCTCACTTTAAGGTTACCCTGCAAGTACAACACGTCAGCTGTTACCAAAATACCAGCGGAACATGTTTTTCATCAATCCTCTGATGATTTTCAGATCATTTCCCCATTTGCTGGATTTACATTTCCATCAATGTACCCAAGGGCGTAGGAACCGGGGGGATGGGTGGGACGTGTCCCCTCCAATATTTGACAAATGCGCATTCGTCCCCCCCAATAACATGGAGAAGAAAAAGAGTGATTTTGAAATATTTGACTCGCGAGCTATTATTTTGAAAGACACCGCGGACTTCTCTCCGACACAGCCCCTCCCCTCAGGGAGTTAGACAGGCTGGCTGAGTGAAGCAGGAGTCAGAGCCGGGGGAGACACAGGTGTCAGACAGACGGCAGCAGCTCAGCGAGTTCTTCTCATTGGCAAAAAAAGAAAGAAATGAATTGTGAGTTGGTAATAATTTAGTCCAAGAGTATAATTGTATTTCTGGTCAAATGCTAAAATGGCTGACTAGCGTAAAAATCTTGCTAGTTAGCATTAAACATTAAACAACACTTCTAGTCAACAAAAAATGGCGAATTTTACAGTAACAGACAAAAACCATTTGACACGAAATAAATAAAGTAGAATCTCCACATAAAAATGGAGTTTGTAAGTGTGATTGTTGCTTGTTTGTGACATTCTCATCACATTTCATTTTTAAACCTTATTCATGTCACTTTTTTCATATAAGAGACCAGAGGAAGTTCAGCAGGAAATGATGAAGAAGGTGAGACAGGCAGCGCCAGACCTGCTGAGGGAGAGACAGGCAGCATCAGACCTGCTGAGGTGCAGTTAGGTGCTACAGTGAAGAATGAGATGGTTTTAGGTTACTGATGAGAGGAAGATTTGAATGTAATAATAAGTGAACACAGTTAAATATATGTAATCCCATTACAAGTAGGGCTGGGCAGTACGGTTTAAGAATAAATTACACTCTGTATACACTTCCTTAGAAATATTAGAAAAATAAGTGTTAAACTCTGCTTTCTGGTGCATTTAGACTGCAATTTACGCCACTGTTTTTTTCTTTTGTCCATCTGAATAATGACGTAGTTCCAGCTGTTGTTGTAAGTGAATTATTTCTTTTTTCATTCTGTCAGAAACAAACAGAATTTTCTGATTGTTGGCCAGCATTGTTGGCTGATGTAGTTTAAAATATTCTGATGAGAGTCAGATCAATTCAGACTGAATGTTCACAGCTTTAGTCTTGTATTAAATCTGTTTACACATCTCTACCCATAGGAATAAGATAATATATCCTACATTCATTTTATTAAAATATATCCTACATTCATATTATTAAATAAAAATAAAACACTACTGACACATAAACAGCTTTTTTATAATTAAAACGTCCACGTTGGCCGGTAATCACCTGGATCTGGCTAATGGGGAGTAAGTAAGTAAGTAAAAGTTTATAGAGCACCTTTCACAGATATAAATCACAAAGCGCTGTACAACATGATAAAGATCAGGGCAAATACCTCTAACCAATAAAAACATCAGAAAAACAATAGCAGTGATAAAATAGAAAATTAAATCATGAGTATAAACAAAGTGAAGGTGTGAACCCGAACAAAGCCATCTTTTTGAACATTTAGGGAGGGAACGCCTGGATGAAAAGGTGAGTTTTTAGATGATTTTTAAAGACCTCTACAGTGTTAGAGAGACGGAGATTTGAAGGTAGACTGTTCCAAAGTCTGGGTGCAATAGTCTGAAAGGCCCTGTCCCCTTTGGTTTTCAGTCTGGTTCGAGGAACAGCCAGGAGGTTTTCAGATGTGGATCTAAGGTTCCGAGAGGTGGTGTGTGGGGATAAAAGCTCAGATAGGTAGCTTGGAGCCTGGTTGTTAAGAGCTCTGTAGGTCAGGACTAAAACTTTAAACTGTATTCTAAATTCTACCGGAAGCCAGTGGAGGGACTGTAAAACTGGAGTGATGTGAGCTCGTCTGCTGGATTTGGTTAAGAGTCTGGCTGCTGCATTTTGGTTGGCTTGAAGGCGTGAGAGGGAGGTTTTGCTGAGACCAGTAAAAAGAGCGTTACAGTAGTCTAAGCGTGATGACACAAAGGCATGGATGATTTTTTTCCAGATCTGCAGTAGAAACCAGTTTACGGACTTTTGAAATGTTTCTCAGTTGAAAGAAACAAGAGCGGGAGATGGTTTTGACGTGTGTGTCTAAACTTATAGCTGGATCAAAAATAACTCCTATGTTTCTAATGTTGGCCTTGGCTGATGGGCAAAAAGAGGCAATTTCTTGCTCGATTTGTGGCTGAAGTTCCGGGGCTGCAGCGATCAGGGTCTCTGTCTTGTTAGCATTGAGGACAAGAAAGTTGCTGGACAGCCAGTTACTGATCTGGGTCAGGCAGAGTACAAGTGTGGCCAGCCTGTCCAACTGGTGTGGCATAAAGGACATATAGAGCTGAATATCATCAGCGTAGATGTGGTAGGAGATGCCTGGGAAAGACTGAATGATGCCAGCTAGGGGAAGAATATAGAATGCGAATAGTAGAGGCCCTAGAACTGAACCTTGTGGAACCCCGCATGTTAGAGAGGCAGTATCTGAAGAGAAGGTTTCAGACTTCACTGTGAATGTTCTGTTGGTGAGATAGGAAGAGAGCCAGTCTAGAGCAGAACCTGAAATCCCAGCCAGGGCCTTTAACCTGTTTAGTAGAACGTTGTGGTCTACAGTGTCAAAAGGAGCCTAAGTCTCCTCCCCTTCTGGCTGGCTCATGGGTCCCCAATAAAAAAAAAAACAAAAAACAGAATGTTAGTGAACTGGCCTATAAAAGTTATTTTCTTGTCTTTCTGGGCTTTGCCTTACGCCCTGAGTCACATCTGTCAGACTTTTCTAATCCTAGAGTTTCACCGTCTATCAGATTTTCTATCAGAAGCTAATGCAGGAGATAGCGGCAGGAGACTATGTTCATGTTCAGCCTGCATGAAACACTCAGTGACACGTTAGAATCAGAAATAATCATTTAATGTATTTTTTCAGTGAAGTTGACCTACGGTATATATTGACCTAAAACAGATTTGTTAGATTTCCAAAATGTGTCCCCCCCAATATTAAACTCGTTCCTACGCCCTTGAATGTACCATCTTCATTCAAAAGGTGTTTGTGAGTTCTTATTTCCCCATACATAGATACCGCACATACAAAGCAAATCCATACACTCTCTCATTTATCCAAACAACAATTAAAGCAGACAACATCTAAGACAAACAATCGATAATGAGAGTAACGTTTCTATTCAAGGCAAAACGCCTAAAGGCCAGGCCAAATTAGAGTAGCGTTTATACTTCCAGCCAAAACGCCCAAAAACCAATTTAACCTCTTAGTTATCACACCGGTCCATTAACTTTATCACACAAGAGTAGTGTTTATACTTGTGCCAAAACGCCCAAAAACCAATTTAACCTCTGGTCACCTAGGATTTCTCTCGGTACCACAAGACAAAACGACAAAAAACAAACTTGCCTCACCAAATCTCTCCACTCCAGGTCTTGAGTGGTTCGTGGATCTGCATTTCCCCCCAGCGACGTCAAGACCCTCACACCGACCCCCAGCAAAACTCAGCGCTGGAGGAGACTTAGGCTGTCGACAGCCCTCCGGCATCGGTTCTTGGCGCCGCGAGGTGATGGGACCCTGGCTTTCGAAGGACCAAATCATGTCATGGATTTTATCAATTTATTTATCAATAACCCATTTCCTGTAGTCGAAGAGAAAAAGGAGACAATGAACAGACAAGTCAAACAGTTATAACTGTGGCATAATGCATGAGGCAAAATGCCCCGAACATCTGGCCACAGAGTTTATTTACACCAAGAGATGAGAGAGAGAGAGAGAGAGAGAGAGAGAGAGAGAGCGTGTGTGTGTGTGGGTGAAGTCAAGAATGTGTTTGTGTGTGTGTGTGTGTGTGTGTGTGACTTGTGTGGGTGTGTCTGAATGAGTGGGCATGCAAAGAGGCATGGAGCAATACATATTACATTCAGTTGATTGAGTCAATGACCAAGAATTAATAAACATAAAATTTCCATAACAACCTCTCCAGGACATAAACCCTTAACACGTTTCACAACAGCTTCATGTTCTGCTGTAGGAAGTCCAGCAGGGAGCTTAGAGGATGACAGCTGTAATGGGGTCCAGTATCCCATTGTGTGTCAGTAAGAACCTTCTCCACTACTTCTCGTGATTACACATAAAAACCACGTGCTCTCCACAGACCACGGAGACCAGGGGACTGTCTTCTGAGGGACCCTGAAGCCTGTTTCCCGTGGACCGCAGACGGCTGCTGCAGCGACAGTCAGAGGTGAGAGCTCTGTGAGGAGGTTTCTCTCCGGCGTCGAACTCCATCCAGAACTTCTTCATCCTGTAAAACAAATACCTTCATGACTGAGTCTGGTGGTTTTTGGTTTCATTAGTAGAACTTTCTGATGGCTTGGTTCACACAGTTTCAGCAGTCTCATCTCCATCGGTCTGCTCGCTGCTGGGGGCAAAGCCCTCCAGGTCTGACAGGGCGCTCTCCACCGCCTCTTCATCATAGTCTGTCTGGTACTCATCAGACTGCTCCTCTGGAGGCAGACAAAACAGACCCACAGGAATCAGAACCATCAGGAAAAACGAACATTAGGGTCGAAACGGGTCCGCGTTGACTGTGTTTAACAGACAACCCACCATTAATCAGAACATTCTTGACCGGTTCAATCCTGGACACAATCTCTGCCAGGTCAGTGAAGGAGGCATTGGGACATGTGACCACCTGGGGGACAGTAGAGGTTCCAGTTAGAGACCCGGACGGGTCAACAAGCTGATGAGCAAGCAACAAGGGCTTCAAACTGAAGTTTATCCAAGTGTTCAACAAACCAAAAGCAAGTAAAAACTGGTTTCTATTCCTCACATGTCCAGTTTTGGTCTTGTGGAACTCCTCCTGGTGTCGGTCCTTCAACATGCTGTCCACCACGCTGTTGCGATGCCACAAGTCAAACAGAGTCTTCCCGTGCTGGTACCCCACCTCCTGCAGACAGAAGCAGGTCAGGGCCAATCCAACAGCAGGTTATAAAAACAGGAAGCTAAAGGGAAGAATGGATGCTTACAGAGATCTCGTCGAACTTGCTGAAGTCCAGTGTTCCATAGTGGTCGATGGGCGGGCGGATGTATTCACAGTAATCACTGTCTCTGACCAGTTCGAGCTGACGCACGCAGCACACGTAGGCCAGGCGTGTTTGGATCTCTGCCATGTTTAAAACCTGCATATAAATAACAGTTGTGCTTATCTGAGTTGGCTCCGCCTCCTAAGGATGTTTATTTGAGGTTAAAGTTCATCGCACCTTGACCTTCTCAGCCAAAGGGTTAAACCTGTTCCAGAGTAGCCACCAGCCGCTCAGACAGTCCCCATAGTTTGTGAGGCTGGTTTCATTCCTGCTGCCAACATCGATGGCGATGACGACCTTTGCCCCCATACTGCGAGCTACGTCAGCTGAACATTAGGAGTAAATCACCAATGTAACCCATCAGGTTCTGTCCACAAGTATCATGAGAGCTCAGGGGCCATTTAAAAAGTTCGCTGATGCACAAAACAAGATCTGAAAATTGAAGTCATTTTCTAAAGAAAAACTTGGTGGAATAACTTTATTTATATATTTATATTATTTATAATACTCTGTCTGACCGTCCGACTATATCTAGCTGAAACCTCTCAACCTCACACACCAACTCAGGCTCCTCCCCCACCAGAGAGGTGACATTCCACGTACTGAGCCAGCTTTTGTCCCCACCTTCAGCCAACATCCATCTCTCACTGCACCCGCCCCTTTGGCCCCTTCCTCGAGTGGTGAGCCCATGGGAAGGGGGCGACCCACTGCTCTTCTGGCTGTGACCTGCCACGCCCCGACCACCAGGCCTGGCTCCAGAGTGGGGCCCGAGGGCCTGAGTACGGGTGAGGGAACGTTATTTTCACCTGTAATGTTCATCATAAGGAGTCTTTGGGCTGCACTTTGTCTGATCCCTCACCTAGGACCTGTATGACATGGGTGACCCTACCAGAGGCTTAAAGCCTGTAACAACTTAGCTCCTAGAACCATTGGGACACTGAAAACCCTCCACCATTATAAGGTTGCAGCCCAGGGAGGAGCTGGGTATGGTAATCTTGGGGATCAACTCAGCAAACATGGTAAGAGACATTTATACCAAAGAGTACAATTTTGGTCTCATGACCACATGAAATTCTCCCAGTCCGCCTCTGGACCAAAATGGCCTCCACAGCTGGTCAACTTTTGCAAAGATTGAAAATTTCTCACTCGGGTAAAAATAAATAAAATAAATAAAACTACAGTCTAATGTTTTGGTTGTTCCCTAGCTGAGATCTGACAGACATTATGATCGATAATTGACCAAACGCATGGGCTTTAAATATTGTTAATTCATGAAGACCTGGGCCCTCATTTATCAACTGTACTTACGCACAGATCTGTGCATACTTTGTTCATAGGATCAATTTTACACATTGTGTGGAACTTACCATCTTATACTTGTGTGTAGAAATGTCCCTAAATATAAGAACAGGTCTGACCACGTGTACAAACAGCATCTAGTGGGAGAACAGGGGAACCGCAACACTGAAGGCATCCATGTGTGTTCCTCATCCACAAATTATTTACCCAATAAATAACAATGTCTGTGGAGAAACAGCATAACTGCTGTTAGAACCTACAAGAGACGCCTATGACCAACAGGAATCTTGGCTGATCTGGTGTTATTGTGGGATTTAGCAGAGCATGTTCTCCGGATGGAACACGTCTTCCGTGAGCGCACTGGTCTACTTGGTGAGAAGCCAGCGTGGCTCCTGAGCAGATACCGCTTCCTGAAGGAGATCCTTCTGGAACTATGTCGTGAATTGGAACCCTTTGTGGAGCCACAGACCAACCGCATCAATCAAGATTCCAGTCCACATTTAGTTATTGACAACTACGGGTGGATAATTATTTTTGTTTGATCTCAGCTTCAATAAAAATAACATCAAAATAAAATAAGCTTAAGGAGCAACAACAAGACTAATAGATACAAGACTGTGCAGCTACTGATCAGAGCAGCACAGACAGGTGCAGAAACACAGCACAGGGCCAAGAGACTGCAAAAGAAGTCTTAGGGTTATCATTCATGAGTCCAACCACAGAGGGGAAGGAACTGTTGTTGTGGCGAGAGGTTCTGGTCCGAATGGATCGGAGCCTCCTCCAGGGTCAGCTGTGATCTGACCTGTACACCATAATGTCCTGGAGGTGTACAGGTCCTGTATGGATGGAAGTCTGCAGGTAACAACCTTCTCAGCAGAGCGCATGACACGCTGCAGTTTCTTCATATCCCTGGTGGTGGCTCCAGCATACCACACGGTGATTGAAGAGGTGAGGACGGACTCAATGACTGTGGTGTAGAACTGCCTCATCAACTCTGAATTTCCTCAGCTGCCTCAGGAAGTATAAGTTACCCTTAGCTAGTACTAGTTAATCTTTACTAGTTACCCCTGAGCTGAGAGAATCCAACATCATTGTTTGGTTCTATGTGATGATGGATTCTCCCATCACTGAGAAGCACTGCATTAGGAGGACATAACATTCGGTAATAATGTAAAATGTAACGTAGAAAGACTTGTCTGTACTAAAAGACGGTGTACGTTTAAATCACGAAATATGGATGCGCACAATCAAAATGTTTCAAAATGGGAACCCTGTAGACTAGAATATTCTCTGGATAACTGTGCATGCCAGGAATATTTTGAACACACAATTGACAAGAGCAGAGGTCCTGTTCCGAAAAAACAGTGTATCAGATTATATCGGACTTCATCAAAAATCTCCAATATAAGTAGTCCTTTAAGGCTCACATTTTTGCAACCAGTAGTTTATTTTTTTTTTCATATTTACTTGTAATGGCTCTTGTTCTTCGATTGAGTAATATCACTTGATCAAGCCTTTCATACATTCCACAGTAGGAAATAGGTAAAAGTACGTATGATTTGTGCTGGTTTCGTAAAGGATTGATATCGGTATCGGTCACTACTGAAGGCTGCAATATCGGTATCGTGTCGGAAGTGAAAAAGTTGTATCAGGACATCCCTAGACACGAGGTCCCAACTTCTGCTGGGACAAACTGCTGATCTGGTCAGTTGGTTTGCAAAGCAGGAGACATTCAGAGACAAACATGTTCTGCATTAATAGGGAATTTATTGACAGCTGTAGCTCTACCCCACTTGTGTCTCACCTGGCAGGTTGTTGATGTACCCCCCATCCATTAGGAGGTGTCCATCTTTGGGGTCACAGAGAGGAGGCAGGTAGCCGGAGAGTGACATGCTAGCTCTGACATAACGCCACAGGGATCCTGAAAAAAAAAAATATAAGAAACACAACTTTATTCAGACCTTTCACCTCTGCTGGATAAACCACCTGTCCAAATGTCATTCTCCCTGCTGGGTTGTTAAAATAATCTCTCTGCCATTGGCCCCAACATTGTAGAGATATACAGCATTTATCTTTTTAACAGGTAGTCCCCCAGATCCTTCAGGCATCACCAGATACAGTTTGGATCCAACAATTCTAATTCTGTTTCTAAGCTCCCATTATTGTCTAAACTCTGGAAAAAAGTAGTTGCAGATAAACTTCTCACTTTTTTGGAAATACATGACATATTTCAATCTGCTTCTGTAAACATCACTCAGCAGAAACCGCTCTAGTTACGGTCTCTAGTAACACAATGTGCACTAGAGACCTCTTTGGATGGAGCAGCTCTTCTTTCTAGGAACATGGCCAATTTTATTAGTCCTCCATGACAACCCAGGGTCCAGACCAGGAAGCAGAGTCGTAGTTTAACCCACCCCTCTGCAGCTTCTGTACTGTTACCCACCCACTACCCCATAGAGACAGTGTCCTGCCCACGGCCAAAATCACACAGATTAAATATCAGGCTTAATAACGCAAATCATAGAAATCTCATTAATATTCGAACAAATTCAACTGAGCAGAAAACTAGAAAAATTAAATGTGGTTTTTTGAACATTAGGACTATTTTTTTCTAAGACTTTGTTAGTTAATGACTTGACTTGTGATAATTAGATTTCTTTGCTTTCTCTCACAGAATCCTGGCTGCAGCAAGAGGACTATGTTAGCTTAAACGAGTCGACTCCTAATTATTTAAATCATCATATTGCTCGAAGTACAGGGCGAGGAGGAGGAGTAGCAACCATTTTTCATTCAAACCAGGGGTGGGCCGTTAAAGCGCCCGAGCGCCAATGGCGCTAAATTTTCTCGTCGGGCGGTAAATACTTGACGACTTACCGCCCGGGTGGCGCCCAAGCCTTGTTTGTCATTTACACACCGGCTTTCACCTACATCATGGCCCCGCCCTGTAGGAAGCCGCCGTTTTCGTTTCGCACGCGTGAACTTGCGCGACATACTGCACTTGTACAATTCGTGCACGTACTGCACGATTCTAGTTATAGTCACGTGAACTATTAAAGACGAAGTGGAACCACGCTAGAAACACACAAGCACGCAGGAAGATCGCGCCACCACAGGGATAGGATTTCTTGATGAAATCTCCGGCAAAACGCTTTAAAACTGTTGAGGAGAAGCGAGACAGTTCGAAACAGTATGAAGCAGAGAAGCGTGTGCGTAGGTGGAATGATTCTTGGCGGTTTAAAGAAGACGGGAGGCGCAGAAAATGGCCGTGTTCGAGTTGAGCAGTGCCTCGCCTGGAACACAGACGAGAGCAGAGGGAAGCAGCAGGGGGAGTGGCTGAAAGCCGGCATTTAACGCCGGGGACACACCGGCCGCGGAAGCGCCGAGAAGCGAATCGCTCACGAAATTCGGCCGCTGCTCGCCGCTCCTCGGTTCAGATCAGACGCGCCCCAGTCGAGGCGCGCCTCGGCTCAGCTGTAGTTTTTCTTTTAACTACTTGGTGTCCTCCATTTCCCCTCTGCCTTTTCTCAGCTCTTTTCCTCTACGTGTGTGTGTGTGTGTGTGTGTGTGTGTGTGTGTGTGTGTGTGTGTGTGTGTGAACCTATGGTATGAACCAGTTGTTTCTTGGAACCCGCTCCAATTCTGCAGCTGTATCCTAGCAGTTTCTTCCGAAATGGGTACGTAAATAACCAAGTTTTTCGGGGGTCGTACAGCTCCTTGTGTTTCTCAACTTCCATAATTAATTTAAAGTCATCCATCTTAACTGCTTGCCTCAGACTTTCTGCCTCTCTGTCCTGTTTGCTCCGGTAAAAAGACACCCAAAATCACACACCCCTTCACGTGGTCACACACGCACACAAGTTCGATGTGTGTGTGTGTGTGTTCGTGTGGTTTTTCTGCAGTGTCTGATTACGAAAACATTTGACTACTGCAGAATTTTATTTTGAAATGCTTTATTTTGTTAAATTTCCCAGCCTTCCTCTTATGTCTAGGTTTGACTTCCTGCCAGAATTGATGCGATTCACCCGCGGATCACGAAAAAAAGAGCAGAAGCCGAAATGATCGCTGCACGGCGCGGGCTGGAGCGCCGGCGCGAGGCGATTTGCGACGCTTCAGCGGCCCATGTGGTCTATAGAATAGCTTAACAAGGGCGCCGAATGAAGGCGGTTCCATTTTCGCGGCGCTTCCGCGGCCGGTGTGTCCCCGGCATAAGTCGGACAGATTTCCCTACATGTGTAGCTCGGGGGTGACGATGGCTGAATATATCGCGTTAGCATTCACACTTGTTCAATTTTCAATTTTAATTCTGGTGCCTGTTAGCAGCTGAAACACATCCTCACGTGCTTGTGGATATCATATATTCTATATGAAAACATGACTGTAATAATAAGTAAAGGTTATCAGCTGTAGCTTCAGTGTGCTCATAGGAAACGTGACAAAAGAAAACAAAACACATTTCTCTTTATGGCCTATTTAGTTGTCATCATCAACGTAACATGATTTACAGAATACATGTGACCAACTAACATTTCATGTTCTACCACCGGATGTTTGGAGCAAAATATGAACCAATCAGATCTTAGATCAGGTGAGAGCCAGGCGTTTCCCGTCATCCCCTAGGTTTTGCAGCCGGTAGAGAGCAACTGCAGCGCCTTGCTCCAAAATCTGCGGCCACCTTGATCTCACGAGGTTATCGTTGCCTACGTATGCATGACGTTAGAGCAAGTCGGCGTCAAGTCGGACACAAATCTAACCGGCATGCGCTGCTCGCCGATCACTGCTGGTCTAATCTGCGCAGAACTGGCTCATCTCGAACACAGCCAATGGCTCGAGTACAGCAAAGTGGAGTTGGTGATGTACTGCGTTGTATGCCGTAAGTATGTGACGACAAAATCGAGTTTTGTTGAGGGAACAAACAAATTCAAACTTGAATACGTTATTATGTTTGTGAATGTGTACAAAATAAAGGTTTATTACATTTAAAACGGTTCAGTTGTTATTTTGACTCATTTTGGCAGTTGACCAGTGGGGCCGGTAGACTCTTGGCGGGGCCGGTAAATTTTCAGAGTTACCGGCCCGGCTGGCCGGTTGGTTTTGAAGTTAATGTCCACCCCTGCAGACTATTAATCAATCCCTTACCAGTTAATAGTTACAGTTCTTTTGAACATCTTGTTCTTAGTTTTCCTAATCCAGGTTGCAAAACTGTAAAACCACTCTTGTTTGTAGTTTTATATCGTCCACCAGGCCCTTACTCTGAGTTTTTGGATCTGATGCCTGATTTTTTATCTGATTTGGTGCTAAATACTGATAAGTTCATTGTAGTGGGGAATTTTAACATTCATGTGGACATTGAAAATGATAGCCTCAATGTGGCCTTTAGTAATATCATAGACTCAATTGGTTTTAACCAAAGAATACATAGCTCCACCCACTTCTGCCATCATAGATTAGACCTTGTGCTGACTTATGGCATAGAGTGTGAGGAAATACCGTAAATCCTCTAATATTGGCCTGTATTCAGTTACCGGCCGAGTATCACATTTTGGCCGGTGTCGGAGTCGGTGAATAATGGCCGTATATTTTTTTATTTTGGCCAGGTGGACTGTGGTAACAGGAAAAAACCACAGGGGGGGTGGTTGTGTCATCCGTCTCACTTTTGATTTGCCAGTGATAGACTGCGAGGGGAACTTTAACCATGGCAGGTGCGGAGCCGAAGAGGAAGGTGAAAATTTGATATCAAGTTCAAAGACAATGTGGTGATATATGCTGCAGAACACTCTGGGGAGCAAGCTGCTAAACGTTTTAACATCGACCCATCAAACTGGATGAGGATTAAACTGAATTGGATTACCGGTATTTTATTTATTTTTTTACTTTAAACTGGACAAAGATTGAATTGAATTTGAGCGGTTTTATTTTATTTTTTACTACAACCCAAACGACACGGAACAATTCAACTTTGAAGCGGTAAGGTGGCTGTTGCCTTTTATAATACCGGTATTTAATAATGTTTAAAATGCAGTACAGATATGTTTGTTATTATTTTGCTACAATACAGTATTTCCCCACTGTAATTTAGCCTTGTTGTTAATGTTTTATATGCAAACCGTACCACGTTATGGTAAATATACATTTTCAATAAATGAACCTAGTATTTTATAGGTTCAAATAGGCACACCCCGTTTTTATTCATTCTACTGGTAGTTCATTTTGCTCAAATAGAAATTGAGGCCTGCCTCTAATTCTGGCCCTCCTTCCAATAAAGGCCTGGAGCTTGATGAGCTTGAGTAAAATACAGGCCCGGGTCTGTATTAGAGGATTTACGGTAACAATATTTCCACATAATCCAGTCCTCTCGGACCACTTTCTGATAACCTTTGAGTTTTTTATAACTGAGTTCTCGAGACATGAAAGTAAATTTCACTATAGTCGGTCTATCTGACAACGCTGTTGCTTCTTTTAAATCAACTGTTGTATCTTTACTGTCCTCAGCATCTCAGAGGCATGTAACAGAAGGCAATATTTTCATTTCTAGCCCTTCACAAATTGATGATCTAGTTCATAATGTTACTTCTTAACATGTGGCATTAGATGATGTTGCCCCTTCAAAAAAGAAGGTAATTAAGCACAGGAAGTTGGCTCCCTGGTTTAATTCTCATTTACGAGCCTTAAAACAAAACTCTAGAAAATTGGAGAGAACATGGCACTCTACACACCAGGAGGAGTCCTACTTATCCTGGAAAAATAGTCTTGTGCTTTATAAAAATAAGCTTCGACAAGCTAGAACTTCTTATTTGTCATCGCTAAATGAGGAGAATAAAAATAATCCAAAATTTCTTTTCAGTACAGTTGCCAAACTTACACAGAATCATAGCTCTGAACCATCTATTCCCTTAGGCCTCAGCAGCAACGACTTTATGGGAT